TGAAATATTGCATTTGAAATATTTCATTCACATTGCTGCTAGTGTGAAACCCCTATTATTGAAATTTTCTGACAAGTTGAATTTTAATCGATAAATTTCTTCTTATTCATTAAATTATGAATAGAATAAATCGATTTGATTAATCGAAGTATATGCTAACTAGTTAAATAATTCAATAGAATTCATTGAACAAAGAATTATTTTTTCCCTCAAAAATGGAGTATGGAATTTTTAGACACTTGTCGGAAATTAAGTGGGTAATTTTTATGCGTTGATTTATGAGAAAAACAATATTATAAAAAACAATATTGATCGAAACATTTTTTTCTTTTGTTTTTTTTTGTGAATCAATAAAATCTTTCAAAAGAGAATTTCGTTCTTTTTCTTTCGGTCATCATTGGTATTTGAATACTTGTCAAATATGAATGTTATGTGATTTTTGTTTCATAAAGATATCACATGATCAAAAATGAAATTAAATCTTTGGAACAGTACATTGACCGTCGGAGTAATTGAAGTAAGTAATTTAGTAATTGATAATTAGTGAAAAAATTGATTTGTAAAATTTTGGAAGGTGCCACCTTTTGCCATTCTTGATAGAGAATATCTGCATATGGAATGTGGATCCGAAAATGGATTGCTCAAAACAATGAGCTCGTATTTTAATTTCACAATAAATTTTATCAATTACAACAAAATGATTGGCCAAAAACTTGCCAATGGAACATGGACCGGTATGATGGGCTCACTTATAAATCAGGTTATTTTATTTTATTTTTTGTTCAAATTTTTAATATGAAATTTTATTTTCTTTTTAAATATAGGAAATCGATCTTGGTATTGGTGCTATAAGTTTTGATTATGATAAATCAAACGATTTTTCATTTTTTCAACCACATTGTATGAGTTCGGTTTCATTTGTAACCCGAACTCCTCGAATCGTTTCGACTCAATTTTTACATCGTCCATTCGATGCTTCTGTTTGGTATCTATTTATAGTTGTGCTTTTAGTTTGTTTTATTTTCGACCGGATTCAAAGACGATACAATTCAACTGAAATCGATTTATTCTGGATAAATTTTGCTCAATTATTTCGTCAAAATTCTTATCAAAAATTGTCTTTCCCATCATTCATATCAATTTGGATGATATCATGGAATTTAGGAATGTTTATTTTAAGCATTTCATATGCGAGTTGCTTATATTCATTGATCGCAGCGCCATCATTTTCCGCTACTATTGATAATATCGAGCAACTATTCACTGCCATACAATCTGGTCAGATTATTGCAACAAGTTTAGATAATCCAAGATATATTAAATATTTTGAGGTTTGTTAAGCCAATGCAAATTTTAAAAAAATTTACTCATTCCAAATGTATAGGATTGGGTTGGAAATACAACATTTGAAATTGATAATATCTGGATAACGGTTCCATATACAACGAAGGCTATGGACATGATACGAGATTCCTATATTGATAAATCGGAAACCAAATACGCTTATATTGATCTGCGAGAAACACTTCAATTTGCTCAAGCTGATTTTGATGAAAAATATATCTATCTACCATCGGAAAATTTATTCTCATCAATGTATACAGAGATTCTTGCTATACCTGTACGAAAAGATTTTCCATATTATAATGAATTCAATCGAATGTAAGTGCATAAATGTTGTCCATAAATAAAAATAATTATTTTTGATGATTTTGTTGATCGTTTAGACAAAAACTTTTATTTTCTTCCGGTTCTTTAAACCATTGGCAACAAGAATGTTATAATCAATTGCGAAGTAAACGAAAATCTCATATGACCACTTTAGCTACGAAAACAAATGCATTCACATTAAAACAATTAAATAATTTTTTCATGGTCTACCTTCAATCGATTCTATGTTCGATGATAGTATTTGTCATTGAATTTTTATGGCGTTTTTTATATCCAATAAGATGATTTTTTTTTCGAACAATTTTAGTATTTATTGATTGTTTTTTGAATTTTCCTTTTGAATCTAGTAATTTCGTTTCTCACAATGATTGTAATTAAATAAATTTATGAATAAAAAAAACTGATTTTTTTTCGTAATATTCAATATTTGAAAAACGTCAACACATTATCAATAATATTGATCATTATTTTATGAGTGCATTGCTTCCCTTTTCAAAATGTTTTATGAGATAAGATAGGGGAAAAAAGTCACCATGAGATGAGAAATAATTTATATTCATAAATCATATTCCTTTGATTCATTTATCATTTAATGTTGAACAAAACGACAAGATGAGATTAAATTTGGAAAATAAAACTTTCACGGTTGCTATAAATGCGGTATGTTTGTTTTTATTTGTTCAATTTCTTATTCGTTGAGGAAGAAAATTTTTAAAAATTTTTTTCTATAAATAGAATACACCATATACTTTTTTACGTTTTGATGAAGAAAGAAATGTATGGTTTCCTGTAGGTGGATCAGAAATTCGTCTTTTAGAAACATTAAGCTCATATTTTAATTTTACCTATGAAATGATCAATTGCCATCGAAATTGGGGCCGAAAAAATCCCAATGGAACATGGACTGGCTTAATTAGAATGTTATTGGATCAAAAGGCTGATTTCGGTATCGGTGGTGTTAGCATGAATTATGAACGAATTAATGCTGTACCATTTTTATATCCATATCAAACAGATCAAATAACATTTGTGACTCCTGCAGAATCAATAACTGAATATTATAGTCATTTTTTATTAGAACCATTTGAACAATCTGTCTGGAATTCTTTTATTCTATGTATCCTTATATGTATCATATTCGATCGTATCATCAAAAATTGTGATCGTAAAACAGATCTTTTATGGGCCAGTTTAGTATTACTACTTCGTCAGCCACTAAATATAAGAACGAATGTCACAAGTCAAGCATTTCTAATATGGATTATGTGCTGGAATTTCGGAATGTTTATACTGTCAACAGCTTATGCAGGCTGCTTTTATTCGATGATTGCAGTGCCAGAAATTCCTCATGAAATAAATTCAGTGCTTGAATTATATCATGAAGTTCAATCAGATCAAATGATTATTACAACAGTCGCCAATTCTTTATATTCTGATATAGTTAAGGTTTGTTGGCAAATCCGATATTCATTAAAATACTAAAATCAATTTCCATAAACTAAGAATTTTCCACTAGATATCGGTAAAAATTCTCAAGTTGTTAAAGATCCCAAAGAAGGATTCCAAAAAATTATGAATAATAAACAACTGCCAGATATAGCATTTATTGCCGAACGCAAAAATTTATTATATCATAAATTGATATCTGGAGAAAAATTCTTTTATATACCACCAGAAAGTTTTGATTCTTCATTATTTCTCGACATGTTATCCATACCAGTAAAACAAAATTTTCCTTATATCAAAGAATTTGATTCAATGTATGTTTATAATCGTTTCAGGATCCTTTGTTTCTTTTTTAATTCTCAAAATTGTTTCTTTAATTAACAGCACCAAACGTTTAACTAACATTGGATTATTTGATTATTGGAATGAACGTGAATATCAATTGTTGAAAAAAGCAAAAGAAAGAATAGCTGGCGACAAATTTAGTCGACAAACAATTGCATTTGAATTAATTCATTTAAAAAATATTTTTCTTGTTTTTTTGTTTTGTTTATTGGGAGCTACAAGCGCATTCCTATTCGAAATTATATGGAAAATATTTTACTCCTTTCTTGTTTATGGTAAATAAAGATTTTATTTATCAATGTACATAGACTGGATCATTATCATAATTTCGTCCATATAAAGTTACAGCTACAATCGGCTGCGTTGGACGAACACGAATAATATTTTCATCCGGTTCTAAACGTTGATAAATCCATTCTTTTCGAATCGGTAAAAGTCGTTGATTATTACCGATAACAGATGGATATACATAATGACTCATTGAAGTTGTGCTTAAAAATATATAATTGAATTCAATTCCATTATTCGAACTAAATTGTGAACAATTTTTTGATTCACATTGAACCATACCGCAGTATTCTTGAAAAATGGGATATCTTGACTGCCCGATAGCTCCGGAAAGTGACGCTCCAGTCACTAATGCAAATATGGCCTTTTCGTTCTGCGAAATATGCTTGAGCTCATAATAAAGTCGACAACATAAATGTGAACCAGGAAAGCACCATTTTACTGAACCGGTTAGATTCTGATGAAAATTCAGTAATATTATCGATTGTAAATCATTGGGATTCAAATAATTATTTTGTAATTCTTGACGAGTTTTATTTCTAAACACTACAAATAATTTAGGTTTTGTTTTATGAACATCGAATGTTGATTCTTTGCTTCTTAGATCAATTGGTATTGTTGCTATAGCTAATTTAGAATTGCTGTCCGGATTATTCGTATAAATGATTGCGCCAAATTTTCCGGAATATATTCCACTACCGAGTGTTCCTGTCTTTGGTATATGTGTATTAGCGCATATAAAATTAATATTATGAGCTAAAGCAAAAGCTTGTTGCATTTGAACACTCGAAACGAAAGGCAAATGATTAAACCAATAAGTAGAAAAAATGATTGTCTGAACACCATATTCTTCAACAAGTTTTATACCCGGTTGTTTGTACATCAAATCAAAACAAATCATAAATCCTATCCGACCGAATGGAGAATCATAATAAACAACCGGATCATTATTTTCAGTTTTTTTCGTTGGGATATTATATTGAAACTCATAATAAAGTTGCATCTTATGATATTTAGCCACAAGATTGCCATACCAATCGAATAATGCAATAGTATTGAAAAGATAATGACCATCCGGTGGACACTCTGATTCAATATTCTTATCGCATTTGACTTTATCGCCAAATTCTAAAGCGATAAACATTTTGTATTGTATTGCCCAACAGCTAATTGTTGCTAAAACTGAAGTTTTCTTTTTATCCAAGGAAGTTGTTTCACAAAAATTCACAAGTTGTCCATTACGTGGATCAGGCATAGGTTCTAAAATATGTTCAATCAACATCGATCGATTATATTTTTCCGAATTGATTAAACTATCTTCAGGAAAGACAAGTAATTCAACATCATTCTGATATGCAATTTCTACAGCTTTTTCATAGATTTTTAGATTTTTATCAATAATTTCACGATAAGTTTCGGATTTTTCATCTCCTTGTGGAACATGTTCGAAAACGGCTGCCCGATACATTGTTGGTGACGATTGTCGTTTTTCTATTAAAACTGTTCTTATTCCGTACCACCAAACAACACGAGCAACCATAGCTACAGCCATAGCTTGAATGCATTTTTTAATCATAACGTTCTTTTAAAAAAAATTTATTCGCAAATAAACTAAACACAACACAAAATAGGTTGATTATTTAAAAGATTTTTATTTAAGTTTATTTTCTAATTGAAATTTAATTTTGGACAAAATTTAGTTATAGCATATTTTCTTAATTATATTAACAATGAAAATTTTGAATTCTTAGAAATTCTTTATGAACAATTATTAATTTTTTTTGGGATTAACAATTGATTTGTTTTCGGTTTCGTTTTGTCGATGATCTTTTTTTGGAAATTTGGCAAATTTTTCTAAATATTTCACTAATTTTTCTACTTCGTCACGTTTTAGATACATAAATCGTTTAGTTTCCCAAAGTAGATTAATAATCTTGAAATCCAATGTTTCATCCAATTCGATTAATTTGTTGAATTGTGGATTGATGCGAAAGTAAAGTATATTGGCTGCTGAACAAAAAGCTTCCGCCCTTTTAGGTTGGTGTGTGTGGAAAAAAAGTGTGAAATTTTTTATCAATAAACAATGAAAGTAATGATGATTATTAATTATTAACTTACCTTTTTACAATATGATTATCAGTATTACAAAGTTCATATAAAAGAAGATTGGTCATTTGATAAATATAGCGAATCTGAGTATTCAATTCCATTAGATTCAATGAAATTTTGGAAATGTCAATCGGTTTACAAGGCTCGGTTTGTTGACGACCCGTGCCTAATGACAATACAAAACGAAGTTTTTCACATTCCTCATGACGCCCAATATGATTCAAGGCATTATTATTGAATTCAAATTCGGTCAGTGCATCGATAGTAGGATTGTTGGAAATTATTCCACCATCGATAAATGGCCCGAATGAATTGAAATATGTTGGAGCAGCACCTGAAGCACGGCATGCTTTCCACACTAATTGATCTTGGTTAGGATGTCGAGCAAATCCTTGATCATAATCAAGCTTCTTTAATAGTTCCAAATGTGAGGGATAACTACGAAATAAATGCAATTTCATTGGTACTCGATCATAAAGGACAGCTGGTATGATGACATTTTTTCCAAATTTGGTTTTCAAATCTCTCATTGTAAGATCGGGACCCAAAAATTCTTTGATTAAACATTCTAATGCTCCTGCATCATAAGGACGATCACCAACAAATACTTTGTCCTTGAATTGAAAATAAATATTACGAATTTCTTTCAATGATTTTCCACTGACCAAATAAGCAGCAACCAATGAACCAGTGCTTGTGCCAATAATCCATTGAAAATAATCAAGGAATGGCCGTTCAAGGCGTTTTTGAAATTCAAGCATAACTTGCACTATTATTAAACCACGAATACCACCGCCATCTAGACACAACATATTAACACATTTTTCATCAATTTTTCCCTCATCATCCTTTTCCATTACTTCATCAAACAAGTTGGAATTTTTTAAATTATTAAAAATTGTTTCATAATGATTAGTTAGTTCAGTTAGAGCGAAATTCCAACGTCCTTCAAAATTTCCATCATGACTACAGCCTGAATTACAATTTATCATATTTTCTGGACATCTTTGTGCACCCAATGATGATACTAGATAAAGAATGTGCTGTGAAAAAAATGTCTGCTCTCGTGAACTGGCCAAAGCAGCCAAATGTCTTATCGATTCTTTTCGATTATTAATAGCATTAATATTGGCATCAAATACAATCAATGCCTGTGACAATGTTATTTCATCCGCTTTGATTGCTCGATGTAATGGAGTATTACCAAATTTATTTTTTGCATCAACTTTTGCTCCCGAACATAATAGTGTGATCACACATCGAATTCGATTACGTTTGACCATAACGTGTAAAGGTGTTTCACCATTAAGATTTCGAATATTTAATTCAAATTTATAAACATTGATCAATTTTTCCATTAATCGCCTATGTTTTACCCAATGTAACGGACTGCCAACCATTTCAATATCCTGACAATCAATATCACCAAGATCTTGATCAGTGAATCGAACGATTTTACCCCTATGTTTGATGTTCTGTTTGTTCTTTCGTGTTTTTAATCGATTTTTTGGTGGATTTAATGTTAACATTTGAACTGTTAGTCCAAATTTTAAAAATTCAAAGACAATCGAATAATTACGTGCAAAACAAGCCAAATGCAATGCTGTCGATCCTTGATGATTTTGCCATAAAATTCTATCCAACATGTTTGATTGGCTAAGAATCAGACGAAATATATCGAGTTGAGAAAGTGCAGCATAATGTAATATTGAATATTGTTTGGAATCCAATAGATTTAGATTTGGGTATAAATCGAGCAACATAATTTCGATTATAGCCTTATGATTATGGATAATTGCCAAATGTAAAGGTGTCATTTCATCTGGTTTTATTTGTGAATTAATTTCCGCCACAGCGATATCTCTTTTATTGTTGAAAAATTGTATGAATCCAAGCCGGGCAGCTATATGTGTCGAATTCCAATTCGGATTGATGCATAGAATATCCATTATTGTTTTAAGATTTTTGAATGTTTCAACTTTTGTTGATTTTGTTATATATTCAGATAGATTATTCAATACTGAGCTTAGATGTTCAAAATATTCAATTGAATCATTCTTTATCATACTATGAAATACTAGAAATGACTGATTATTTATTCTATAAATAATTTCATAACTATTGTTCATTGATGGCGATTGATGTTCATAAAGCCACACATATTGATTATTTTTCAATAATAATCGATTTTTTTGCATCAATTGTTCATGATTATCCGAATCAATTACTTCGATTTCTCTGTAAGAAATACTTGAATATTTATTAATTCTCGAATCTTTATTATTATTATTATTGTTTAAATTTGAAGTTGTCATTCTGGTTGGCTGTACTGATGATGATTGTTGTGATAAAGGTGATAAATAGCTACCAATACCGTTTTTAATATTGTTCAAAACATTTGACATTATCGTCAATGATCGAATGTTTTCATACAAAATAACATCGATTTTTATATAAAAATTTTACAGCAAATAATTTATAATTTAATATTTTTATTAATTGTGTTTTTATTTTTTAGAATTTGTCTAAATTTTACGTTGCCAATGATTGTTGTTTACTTTTCAATTCTTGTGGTGTTGCAATCGAAGGTATACGACTAAGAAATTTAACAGGATTTTCATGACTTTGCTGATAGATGGTCGATATTCGTTGATTATTGTATGATGAATTCATTTGGTTTGAGATGATTGTTGAATCTTTTGGCAGTATACTGATTGATTTTGACAAACTACTACTTATTGTTGACGTTAACGTTTTCGGGTTTAGTTGACGATCATTTAGTGATTGTCGAATAGTAGGAATACAATCATAAATTACATAAAAAATTAACATCAACGATATAACGTTTCCAATTATGAAGAATGCTATTATTAAAAATAGATTTGAATAAAATTGCACAATGCACACGTTTTTTATACACTTACCAAATAATCCTTGATTAAAACATTTTTGAATTTTTAATTCAGATAAATTATTTTGATTATTTAAATTATCATTTTTAGACAATGGCGATGAAATTTGAAATGATAACGATATTAATATCGTTATGACAATAATAATGATTGACCATACAAACATTTTTTTGATCAAAATCCACGTTCCATTCAAACATGGCTTTCATTTTATTCAATTATTTTCTCTATTTTCATAATTGATCAAATTCAATTTTATTGGGATGAAGAAAAGAAAATTCTAATTAGGTTAACAAAGAAAATGTTGAAATGCTTTTCCTTTGTTTCATATTTTAACGAAGAAAAAACGTCTAAAAATAACAGCTATTATTCATAATCATGATTGATTGATCAATTTATTGCCTGTGGCCTATGACATAATAATTTCCAACTTTTATTTATTTTATTTAAAAATTCTTTAATTTATCATCATTCATATATAAAATCCTTATGTAATAGTGACAAATCTTGAAAATTAAGATCAAATTTTTTTTTTACAATTGAAAACAGAGAAAAAAAAATTAAAGTTTAACAATTTAATTTTTAACAGTAAAAAGATATTGTTGTTTTTGTAATTGGTTCTGCCTTTGATATGTCGATCCCGGAAAAATTGTTTGGCACAGAATGAATGGTCATGAATGATTTTGTTTTCTTCCTGGTCATCATTTAATTTTAGTCTTGCTAGGCACTAGTCGAAGAAGACGTCGTTGATCGATGATTATGATGATATTGTAATGGTGTTGAATAATCTGAACGAATTCGTGAACAATTTTCAAAATCTGATTGTGATGATGATTGTATTGTATCATCTGAATTATTATTATGGCCTGGTGTGGTCGAATCAAATTGATTGAAATTATGTAGATTAACGCTAGTCACATGTTGAAATAGACAAGGTGCCGATATATCCATTTTTCCTGGCAATCGTTTATTTTTATGATGATTATTATTCCTGCTATGATCAGGTAAATCATAAAATGGAGATGATTCATTCGAGGGAGCTTTATGAATATCGCTTGATCTTCCAACACTTTTTGATCGTTGTTTTCGAAATATTCGAAATTTTTCACCAGATTTTTTTGCAGCCTTTGGTCCGGTCAACGATATGTTCAATGGATTATCAGTGACAATTTCAATTTGACGAAAAAATTCTAATGCTGCGAATTGATTTTCAAATTGAAAACCGGCCATTTTTCGATGATCCATTGATAAATACATTGTATGGAATGTTGGTTTTAATGCATGATAATTTGAAAGATTATCAATAATATCGGTCCATAATTGAAAACCGGTACCATGTTCAGCGATACAGATTTGAATCTGTCTTTTATCACGTGATCGTGTATCACCTCGATTAAATAACAATACAGGTACACCATGACATATTTGTTTCCAATTTTTACTTTTAGGCCTTGATTGACGGCCACCATCGACTAGTTCAGTTTCAGTAAACAATAATGTTACTAAACATTGGCCAACATAAACGAATGTACGATGTGAACGATAAAACATTTCAATTTTACTGGTTTCAAATTCATCTAACAAACGACTAGTTGGTGATAATGAATGTGGTGTAAATGAATCATTATCCATGTTGGCACTGGAATTTGAAATACTACTACTTCTCGATGGTACAGATTCTGTTGAACGATTAGAATTCGATATTCGAGATATATTTGAAATTGATCGAGAACGAATGGAATTATGATGATGATCTTGAAGATTATTGCCTAAAGATGAATCAGTTGTTGAATGATATTGTGAATAACGATTTGATGATATTTTCGAAAATGGTGGTGGCGGTGCCGGTGGTAATGTTCTACCACGATAGGCCATCATGGCAAATATTTGAAAAACAAACAATTAACGTGTGGAGCCCCTATGATATAAATAATTAAAAATAGTAAAATTAATTTAAAAGTTTTAATTAAAAAAAATTAATCGTTATTCTCAAATGAATAATTTTTCTTTATAAAATTTTTTTGTTTGTTGACATTTTTGAAAACTTATTATTGTTTTTTTTCCTATTCAATTCTCTCTTATAATGATTGAATGAATGAATATATTTTAGATCCCAAATGATTGAATGAATGAGAGAAGGGGAGAAAAAGAGAGATTTAAAAAAATGAATACCAAAATTGAAATTAAAAAAAGACAAAAATCCTGGAATTCCCAAATGTTTAATCTATTTCACATATATACACTAACAAGCATAGCCAAAAATAAATCCAAAATTTTTGTTTTGTTTCAAAAAAAAACTAAAACACCCACACTGAATGTATATATTTAGTCTATTTTCTATAAATGAATTCAGTGTTTTTTTTTTAAGGAAATTCTAGTGAATAAGATCATCTAGATTTCAAATTATTGACACAATTTCTATACATGTGTAAATTTTATTTTGCATTGTGTATGTCTGTGTAATTCAATATGCAATTAAATCAATACGTAACCAAAAAAAAAATTTACTTGTTTTGTGTGTTATTCTTACTGTTGTTGACAAATACAAATTAAAAAAAACATTTTCAGTATTTTAAACTAATGAAATGATTTGTATTACGCCATAATAGTAATAGTATTCATAGACTTTTTAATTTCATTGTAATCTTAATAAAAAGGTATAAAAATCTATCAATGACGCCTACATCTAAATGTGTGTTATGATGATGATATCACGAGTTGGAATTAATATGGTTTTGTTTACGGTTTTTGTTTGTTGATGTTTTCTTGTTGCCATCACATACTCCAACGCATCGATATACTCTATTACAATTGTTTTTTTTTGTTGCAATTATATTTGATATTTATATTGGGTCAAAATTACAATTTAATCGACATTTCGTAACGGACGAATACTACTGGATTCTAATAAGATGATCATATGAGAATTTGATGAAGGCGTTAGTAGTAATGAATGAACGTACGCAGAAAAAAAAACAAAACAAAAATCAATTTTATATAAATATAAATATAATCGATTAGTTTAATCTATTGATTTTTAATTATCAGTATTTTGTATATTAATTATGATAATGAATTAAGAGTTTGATCAAAATCTTGTATAATTTTACGATTATTATTATCATCTAAACAATCATTTTATAAATCATGATAATTTGAACAATTTTGTGTTACTAAGAATTCTTTCTTTTTTTTCGTTATTATCTGACCTTGTACATCTTATTTATTTCTCATTGCTATAACAATTATTTGAAAAATCCTTTGCTATGTTTTTGTTTTTGTTTTTTCATTTCATTTTTTTGGATCTTGATTTCGTATTCTATCGAATAATATTATATTGTTTTTGTGAATTAATTATAACGTGCACATTCATTCACTAATGAACAAATGAAAATGAAAATCATAGCCACTGTAATTGAAATTTTTTTCAAAAAAAGGAGATTGAAGCCAACAAACTCTAGGCGTCATAATGAAAAAATGGATTTTGTTGTTGTTGTTTGCTTCTGGCTTTATATATTATGATTAAGATTTGATTTGAACAACATTGTCAAATTTGATTTGATTTTCTTCAAAATCATCTATTTTTTTGGAAAAACATACGTATTGTTTTTGTCTTTTATTGCCTGAAACTTTTTTTACGAAACAAAAAAAACTAATTAAAATGATGAAAACTTTGAATTCAAATATTCAAATATTTTTTTTGTATTTAATAAAAATTCATGATGAAACAATGAAAATCTATGATTATCATATGTGAGAGGAAAAATCTGGCAAGATTTTTACCCGGAAAAAAAGATTTTAAAGTATGCTGGTTTTTTAAAGTATGGTTCCGTTGTTTATCATCATCATGATCATCAGGATAAAATAATTCTATTGTTTGCATTGATTGATATTTTATGATTCGACAATGTATACATTGCGTGTGATTATACAATGTCGATGATGATCATTGTGCGAGAAATGATAATACGTATGAAATTATTTTTTTCCAGACAAAATGTTTGTAGGATTTTTTTCTCTCAATTTTTACATGGAATGAAATTCGATTAAGATTTTTATTTTGTCGAGATCATTTGAATCATGAAAAGATTTGTTCGACACGATCTAGCAAACGATGATGTTTTGATGTTATCAATGTAGACGTCATACTACAAACAATGAATGGTTGGAAAAAAGAGGATTTTTTTTCATTTGGTTACAATTCTAATGAAAATTCATTGTTGAACTTTTGACAGGCGAATCGAATGAATTATTCAATTTTTTTCTTTGTTTGTTTGAATTTCACATAATGTTAATTTTTCTTCAAGTTTGTTTGATGATCATCATTGAATATATAGTTGATGAATTTTTCTAGAATTCATTCTATTTTCAAACAAACTGATGATAAATTTATAGTGTAAATTTTCACATTGATTTTTTTGTTTGTTTTTTTTCTCGTTCGATTCGTTAAATAATTGAATTTGAGAATTGAATTTTCGAATATAGTTAGTTTTTCTCCCATTGAACAAACAGTCTTTTGTCATTTTTTTTCTTGATTCAATTAAGTTTATAAATTGCAATTTCACTTTTTCTTTCATTTTGAATTTAGTTTTTCAATAATAATTTTTGATAATGTTAATTCAAAATAACACCTACGCACAAACACTTGGATAACCCAACAGCTCAAAAAATGCCCACTGAAAATATTTTCAGGTACAATTTTTCTCATAAAGATATATTTATTTTGAAATAAAATAATCATCTCAAAACTCATGACCATCAAAACATTTTCATCATCATCATCATTATCATTATAAATGATCATCTTCATAATGTTGTTTCCGATTCTAACTGAGAAAAATTCATTATCATTGTAAACAATTTGATTTATGATCCATTCAGCTAACATCATCAATTCGTCTTGCAATTTTCTTTTTTCTTCTATTTTCTCTTTCCTTCTTTATCACTCATTCTCCATCAACATTTATTTTATCTATCGCTATTCATTGTAATGGGATTTTGTGAGTGTGTTTGTATCTGTCCCTCATGGCTAATTCATTTTGTTCATCGATGAAAAAAAATAAAGATGAATTGTTCATTTATTTACTTTCGTTTCGCTTGAACATTTTTATTTTTATTTGTATATATTTACAAGTTTTGTGACCAATTCTTTAATCACTAATACTAGTGATAGTAGTAGCAGTAGCAGTATGTTAATAAATTCACCTACGTGTATGTTTTGTTTTTTGTTTTGGTCAATTGTTGTTGATGATGAAGTTTTCTTATTGTTTTTTTTCCGAAATAACTCTTTATGAACTTTATCATCATTATCATTATTATCCTTATTCAAGGATGTTTATAATCATCAATCAACAAAGTGAGTGAGAGAAACAAACTTTATTTATTCATGAAAATGAATGTTTCCTTACTGCATAAATTTTTTTATTTTTTATTTTTCAATTTTTTTTTTCATTCAGTTCCCTTTTCAGAATGAGAATCTGAACATCATCTTAAAATATTGGAGCAATTCAATGGTTTATTTGATACGATAAAGTTATTTGGTTCCACATAAATAAAAACATGAGAATGTTTTATGTTGGAATTCTTGGAAAAACTTAAAGATTTCTTTTGGATTTTTTTTTTAAATAAAAATTCTTTTGATCATCATTTAAGTGGATCACATCTTGGACTATTTTCATTCTGTACTTTTTTCATTACACAGCTAAAAATTTAACATACACATCAAGTAATCATTTCCAGACAAAAACTAGTTATATTTATTCCAATTAAATTTTGTTTTTTTTAACGATATAAACTTTATAAAATATTTCATACGAATAATTGGAACATTGCTTGTTCATTTTGTTTGTTTGTTTGTTTTCTATTTTTTTTTTTTATTTGTTGATTCAATAAGATTACTCGTTTCGTAATTGGCTGAAGAAAAATTCCTTGTTTGGCTATTCGTTAGTGTATGGAATTTTTTTTTTAATATTTTGTAAATAAACAAACAAACAAAATAAAATAAAAAATGTTCGAAATTCGAATACAAGAAATCCTATAAATAATTTGGATCAAAATTTTCAAAAAATTATAATTTTTTTTTATTTTTTATTTTGGCTCGTTAATCAATTCTGGTTTTATTTCGACTCTTTTTGTTTCATTCATTTTAAACAAGAATCATTTCAAAAACAATAAAAAAAATGATAGCAAAAAGTTCCGATTATCGTCGGCCAAAATTTTTCATTCATTGTTGGAATATTAATTCCTTAATACTAATGATGATGATGATGATGTTTTTGATGCCATCATCTGTCACAATGAAATCAGACAGCATAAAAATGGAAGTTGATAATGTTGGCAGTATTACAAGCGATAATCCAAATGAAACTTGTTTATCAACTTTTAAAATGCAAATGATATTATTGTTGGATATTATGGGCTTATTATGTTTATTATGGATAATTTTCGGTAAACATCGTCGACCAGAATTGAAACAATCATTGCGTACATTACAAACATCAATGAAAACGGCGGCTACGGCTGCTGCACAACAAGGTGGACAATTAATGACGACTGTTTCACAGAATACACCAGATTCAATTAAATCAGGCATTAATCGTGCACAAAAAGTAATTGTTTCAGGTGCAGGAACATTGGCAAATGAAGCCGGACATGTTGTCAAACAAGTACAAACTCAAGTGTCTCAGGTTGCTAGTTCCGCTGGTGTTGTTTCTCAACCTAAAGAAAAACAAGCACCGCCAACTAAACAAGCACCGCCAACTAAACAACCCAATTGAAATTGTTGCAAATGAAATGAAGAGAAAACGCAAATAGAGAAGGGAAAATTTTTATTGATTAAAACTGAATTTCATGTATAAAAATTAATTATTATTTTTTTGATGCAAAAAAATTTTGATTTGTTTTATTATCTGGTAACGAATTGTTGTCAGGAATTTGATTTGCAAACTCAATTTTTCGTGAAAAGTTATTTTTTGCAAACGTGCGCGTGCATAATTTAATCGATTTGGATGAATTTTTTTGAAAATTTTTCATTTGTTTTTGGTTCAAATAATAATTAATTTTCTCTTTCTTAAATGTTAAACATTTATTTTTTGCTGTAGAATTTTTTTCAAAAGTGTAATCAAATAGATCAAAATCATGAGTTGGATTTTTTTTTTTTTGCTACAAGATAAGATAAAAAAGAGCTAAATAAATAGATTTAAATCGATGATCGTTCTTGATTTTAAGTACTAAATATCTATTTAATGATCTCTCGTGACTTGATACAATATGATTAAATTTTGTTGAAAAAAAAGTATAATTTTCTTCACGAATCATAGATTATGACGAATATTTGAATGTTTACTCAACATTATAAGATAAAATAAAAATCATTTGCGGTTTGTTTATGTATATGATGATATATTTGTTTGATAACAACAGTATCTTACTTCACAATAATAATAATTGTGATTCTTTTCAAATATTTCACATATCAAAATAAAAATCTCTATCATTAAACATCCGTATTATATTATAATTAATAATTTTTCATTATTTATATCTTGATATTTGTTATTTGTTACTTGAAGAAATGAAGTGTGTGTGTGTCAAATGCAATGATATTTGTTTACACACACCGATATTATCTGGCCTATCTAGCGATATTAGAATATCCAAACCAACTACTGGTTCAACCAACATACGATCAAGTAGAATAAAATGACAAAAATATGCCAACATGTAGAATTTTCATTTGAAGTTATATCAAAATCCTAAATCATAACTTTTTTTCTATTGCAATTTTTTATGTCAACATTTCATGAATGAATGAATGAATGAATGATGATGATGGATTTTTCCATTGCATTTTCAAATGTTTTAGCATTTCTAAGTATATTTTTTTTGCAGAAGAATTTTATTTGTTTATTTTTATTCAGCAAAAATTATACATTTATCATTTGAAAATCATTTTTTTGTTCATCATAAATGTTTGTATTTCATTCGAATTTGTCGATGATTATGGCCAAATGGATTGGCTATATTTTCTAATTGAATTAACTTTTTCCGTTCATTCATTCATCAAATGTTTTTCTTTTGATTATATAATTGAAAAATTCAATAATCAAAATCAGCTAAATCATCGTTTTATTGATAATAGACATTTTTTTTCAAATCTATTTATAATAACAACAACAACAAATGGATCAAAGTTGACAAGTTTGATGCTGCACTTAGTTCCATTTGTATTCAAAATAAAAATTCCATCATTATCATTTATCCTATGAGATTAATAATTTATAATTTAGCTATTAAAAGTAAAAAAATATATTGAATTCAGGCTATCATTGTTTGTTTGTTGCGTGATTGAAATGAAAAGAAAACCGAATATGACATTGAAATAAATACAAAATTTTTCCCCTATTGAATAATCAGTAGAAAGAAAAAAAAAGGTGAAGGTTTCAAATGGTCGCTCCCATTGTCACAATGTATTCTTTTGTTGTTGATCATTTCATGCTTGAGTTTTCATTGTGACCGAAATAAATAAATAAAACGAATTTTGAATACTATGCATGCAAAAAAAAAACCGCAAAACGTAAAAGATGAACAACATGATGAATGAAAAGGCCAACGAATATTTTTGCCAAAACCATTTTGTCTATTAGATTTTTTAATTTTTTTTTCTTTCGTTTTATTGATGGATTTTGATGTTTAAGATTTCTTTTCATCTTTTCAATGAAAAATGAGATGTTTCAAATTTGATGATTCAGATAAAATTGAAATTACTTTCCTTAAATTTTTTTCGAATGATGATCATTCAAAAGGCTTGGTCTATGAAATGAAATGATAATTGTAAATTGTGTTCACATGGAAAAAAACGTCGACCTATTTGGTTGAAATAAATTTTTTAAACATTCTTTTTTTTCATCATCAAATAATTATTCAATTGGATTCATTCAACAATTGATATATACATTCATCGGGTTGATGATAATCATTTATATTTACCATTGTCTTTGATTTAAAAAAAAAAAATGTTCATAATCAATTAATCATCGATTGTGTGCACTTACTTGTCCTAATTATCATCAAAATCATTCATTCATTCAATGAATTAATTTTTTTAAAATGAAATTTTTTTTACTTTTAGTTTTATCATTGTTCAAATGGCATATATTTCCATTTAACAATCGTTTTTTTTTCTTCTAAATATCTTAATTTAAATATTGTTGTCTTTTTGTGAAGAAAATTTCGTTTTTCTATTGTGTCAATTAACATTTGACCGATTAGATATGAATGAATAGTTATATAATATATTTAGGGACAAAAAAAACAATAATTTGGATTGATTGTCACATGATTTTTTACAAATGTATGTCATAACCAATTTTTTATTGTTACATAATACGGTATAAGAAAATGATGTACCGTTATGATTCGAAATGATATGAAATATTAGAATGCTCTAAAAATATAATGTCATCTTCGTGGATAAATAATATACCCATGATAATGATGATGATGATGATGATGATGATGTTGATAATGATACAGTAGCAAAATGACCGTTAAATGTTTTCTCTTTATTTTTTTTTTCCTCAACACAAGTTAGTTTTTTCAAATGGTTAAAATAGATTGGTTGTTAATGTTTTGTTTGGACTAAATGAGGCCGTATACTGTATATGTAATTATAATTATTAAAAAAAATGAATAAATGAGATGAATCATTTCTTATTATTCAACAAAAAAAGAAATTTGAAATCTAATAGAAACAAAATGAAATAAAATCTATTCGATACGGAAAAAAAATCATCATTGATATTGATGATGATCGATAAATAATACCAATAATAATAATAATAACGGAGAAATTCGATATAAATTGGCATTTCGAAACAAGTTTTGAAATGAAGTACATTAACCTTATTAATGTTTATATGAATTGGTGAATCATCAAATAAAAATCGTGATGGATAGGTCACTTGAGATAAAGAGTGTGTACAAAAATACGATATAAACTAAAATAACCCAAAAAAACTTACCAATTTTTTTTAAAGCACAAAAGATTATTCTTTTTTTTCGACACTTGATAATGATGGCAGGAAATTCTATCGTTTCGTTTTATGTGTCGTTGCCGAGATTGTGTGGTCGATGATGTTATAAATAATTAATTTGTATCAAAAAATGAAAGAAAGAAAATTTTTATTATTATTATGGTCGTTTTCTTTAAAACATAGAGGAAAATTGAAGAAAACTCAATTGGATTTGACAATCAAAAAAAATGGGAAAAAAATCTTAATGATATTATTGTACTTGGACACTTTTTTTTGAAAAAAAACTAAAACACTTCATCTCATCAACTTTGTTTGATTATATCACTAATAATAATGATATACATTGAAAATTGTCATATAGAAAAATAACAACGACAATGATGAGACAATCACGAAACAATATTATTAAATATTTAAACAAATTGTAATAAGTTGTTTCAATTCACAATAGCAAAGCAATTGGGATGATCATATAGGAAGAAGAAGGCAAAATATTTCCGAAAATTATTATTCAGTGAAGCGAAAAATTTTACGGTAACAAAAAAAAAAATAATATCATTCGAAGGTTGATATCAACAATTTTTATTTATTTATTTGGATTGTGAGAATGATGTCTAACTTATTGAAGCGATAAACGGACAATGATGATATGATCAACGGATGAGAAATATTATCGACAATGAATACTTTTACTTTGAAAAAGAGACAATATTTGCTGTATAACTTGTTGCCATTGATATTTGAAAAAATAAATTGTTGTCGATTGTCATCTTTGTGTGAAAACTAATTATTGAACAGATTGGAAAAAGAGATCGATGATTGATTGGATTGTTAGTTTGTTGTTGTATTTTCCTCATTCGCTATTTTACAAAACAAAAAGGTGAAAAAATTACCTTCACAAACATCAAACAAGATGAAGATGTTCAAAAGAAGAAATTTCTTGATAATAAACGTCAATTCAACCGGTACACGAAAAAAAATTAACACCGAAAAAAAACTTGTTAAATGTTTGATTCAATTCAAGTTTTGTTCAATAACAACAACAACAACAAAAATAGATATTGCACATCCGATATTTTCTTGTTTTCATTCTATTGCACCAAATTGATGGATCATGTAGTTGTCATGATAAATTGATGAATGTGATAAATCATTATTTACATAATTTTATTGATGTATTTTGTTTGGTTTGTTTATCGACTTTACACACGACCAACCAATTGACTGATTCGAAATGATTCTATTGAAGTGATCAAAAGTTAATATTTTTATTTTTATTTTATATTAACAACACAAATAGACGGCAATAATCAAAACAATTTTGTATAAAAAACAAGAATTTATCCATCTATGATAAAATTATTTAGTTATTTTGTTGCGTTGATTCGCTATCAACAATATTTTATCTATCGTTTGATGATTATCACCAACACGACCACATTGATTGATTTTGTTGTTGTTATTATTTATTATTTTTACCTACGCAAATACACATTCATATACGATTATTTCATCAAAACGGATGGTGATAAAAAAAAGACATTTTACCGAACTATGTTTATAGTTGACGAATTGGTTTCCATTGATTCCGGATTACGAATACCACACACACACAAACTTCCAAAATTTAAAATTGCTAGATAAATTTTGAAAATTTTTCACTACACATTAATCAATAGTTGAACAAAGCAAAACACACACCCGATTTATATATTTTTTTTCAAAAAACAATAACAGTTGATTAAACTGAACATTTGAATGATTCGATGTTCATAACATTGGCTAATGATTTGTTGAAAATGAAAAATAATGAATGAAAAAAAAAACATTGATGTTTTGATTACATGACAATATGATGAACATCGAACAAACGAATGAATTAGAATAAACGGCCGAATAGAGAAAGAGAAAAAAAACGAGAAACAAAAATAAAATGAAAGAGTAAAAAAAAAAATCAAAACAGGTTTTGTCCATAACAACGATGGAGATCATCACAATGATGATGATAATGGTCGTTGGTGGTAAATTGAGAAGAAAATAAACAGTCACTTCTTGAATGTCCAACAAGTTGTTGTTGTTGTTACTATCTAGTTTTTTTAGATTGAATGAATGAATGAATTTTGGGAAAGTCTCATAACAAACATGACAATTCATTCGGAAAACAACATATATACTAAACATGGAGGGCGAGGAAAAATCCAATTTATACCACACAAAGTGAGCAAAACTATACAATACATTCTTTTGTAGAAAATCAGTTGATCATCATCATTTAATTTAACTTCAATGCCATTTTGTTAATAAAAAATAATAATTATAATGATGATGAAATGAAATGAAGATTTTTTTTCATGTATTTTATTATCGATCATTGTTTCCATATGATCTTGTAATTTCCTGTTTATAAAAACATGAAAAACAATATTTTTATTTCAACAAAATGAAAAAAATGCAATCATTGCATCTCCACAAAAAATAAAAATCCAAAAGTATGTGAAATGTTTCATTAACTGTATAAATAAATGAAATTTCATTTAGATCACGATAATGTTTTTAATTTTATGATTTTTGAAAAAAAACATCTCAATTTCTGATTGATAATATGCGTGTTTGCATTATGTTTGTATCTATGTATGTGTGTGTGTGTAATATGGAATGCTAGTATTGAAAAAAGTAGATAAATAAATGATGTCAATGAAAATGGAATCGAATCCTGACAGGTATTAGTCATGATAAAGATATATTGATGATTATTGATTAGATTATTGAATTATCGTTATCCGCATCATAATCAAAATGTTAAGGATGATGACCCAATCAAATGTGAGATTTTTAATTCCTGTTTTTCAATATAGTTTTTTTTGATGATGATTTTTATCCAATGTATAATGTTTTTCATACATTTGATAATTGCTTGATACACTTATATATAACAACAAGTGTACATTAGTTGTAAAAAATGTTGTTTTTACTCATATTTGATCCGGTTTGATGATGGATTGTTTTGTTCCGTTGTTTTGATACAATACAGTATCATTTTACAATTTGTAAAAGAAGATTTTTCTTTAAGAAAAAAGATTTATTTTTTTTGTTCATCAACAATTTTATTTAATGTATCATGATGTTTTTCTATTGAATCAATGATTTTGTTTTTCATTATTTCTTTTATTCTATTGTGTTATGATTTATTGCCACACTTCCGCCAATTTATCCATTAAATGTTTCAAATTTGACAAATAGTTGAATCTAAATTGACAATAATACCTACACACATACAGTATAGTTCTAAACAAAATTACAAAAATAAAACGATAATGGACAGTCAATCAGTCATGATTACCATTCGCCACTATTGTGAACATAAAATTTTTTCGATTCTTTTCAATTTAGTGAACAAAATAATTAAACTTTTTTGTCCCATAAATTTTTATGTGTATGTTTTTTTTAAAGAAAATTATTCTCAACTATGACATGTGTCAATAATTTTATTTTCACAAATGAATGGATTTATTTTTTTAGTGCTAAAAATAGTTTCAAAATTGATAAATTAAGTAATAATGATTTATTAATAAGTTTATTCAAATGAAATTCAGTCTATCAAAATAATGATGATGTTATTAAACTTTTTTTTTGTTTTGATTTGCATACACACGCCCATAAACCAACATTGATTTGATCGATTACAATTGAAAAATACCGGTTTTTATTTTTAAAACCGTGAACAATTTTCCATTTCTATTGAAATCTATTCATTCAATCAATCAATCAATTGATCAATTTTCGATGATCAATCAATAAAAAAAAGTTTTTCTTTTTCTTTTAATCATTGTTCTTTTCTTTCATCATTCATCCGTGTCAAATGTAGGTTTTATTTCGGAAAATACACACGCACATACCGATAGACAGGCTATCATCAATACATCAATGAACAATGACAATTATAGTTAACCATTTGATCTAATTGTTGATTGATTCATAAATTGATCAATTTGAATGGAACGAAAAAAAATCAAAATCAAAATGGTCAAATATTTTTCATTCAATAGAAAAAACATTGTCATTTAGATCAACAGGTGGACAAGTATTACAATGAAATGACCTATGAATGAAATTTGATAGTATCAAACTGAAGGAATGACATACAGGTGTTACATTCCATGATTACATACAAAAACATACACACACATGTCGAAAAGAAAGAGAGCAGAAAAAAAGATGGCTGAGAATGAGGACATTCTATATTGGTTACTAGAAATTTGTTTTATGAAAAAAATGAATGAATGCTTTGGGCGTATTTTCACATTATCGATTTATAATAGAACCATCATTATAATCTCATTATCATATCCGGTGTGTTGAATTTTTTTCTATTTATTATCTATAACTTTATCATTATGAATAGAAAAGATTTGTCTTCATTCATTCAAAACAAAATGATCAACATCCGTTATGAGAGAAAAAAACAATTTGAATAGAATATAAATGGTAAGGGTCAATATGGCATTTTGAAAACGATGAGAATCTTTATTAATTTTTTGTTGACTATATTTAGATATTATCATTATTATCAACAGTAATAGGTAACCCATGAGAAATGTTTGACATTTATTTATTCGTTTTTCGTGAAAAATGTTTCATTCATCATTCAAAATTTTCCATGAGAATAATTGGTTGGTTGGTTTGTTTTTTTTTCTATTGGAATGGTTGAATAACAATAATTATCATTTGTCAATTGTTGTTGTTGTTGCTGCTGGTTGATAATGATCATCAGATTCTCATTCGTTTTCTTTTCTTTTCTTTTTTTTTGAAGTTTTCGATTTTTTTCGAATTATTCACATAATACCATATACCGTTTTGTGAATTTGTAAAACTTACGCAATTAAATAGATAGGTCTTATGATTACTTGAATGTTTTTTTTACTAACCAACAAACAATCTTTAATGAACTATGTTGTCTAATTATTTTATTTTTATCATCATCATTCTGCTAACCAAATTTCTATATAAAAGATTGACCTAAATCTCATTACTTTTGGATATATCATTACAAATTCTTGTATCATGTGGAGAAAACAACAACAACAAAATTTCATAAGAATATCAGAGATTTTTAACAAATCAATACTAAATATATCGTAATACTATAGTTCTACATCATTACTACGGATGATCATTATATTATAACCATGATTTTCAATTAAGTTGACATGTTATAATGAGTAGAAAAAAAACAAAATTCTAAATTAATTCCACATTTTATCCCACTATACAAACTTTCTTTTTGTTATTATTGTTGTTGAATTATTTTCTATTTACGTGTAATTAAGTTGTTTTTATTTAATTTATTTTTTCATAGTTTTGGTCATCTTTGTTTGTTTATTTAGATTTTTAAAAAAAGATTAAGATTTCAATAGAACAATCATTTCACAATGATTTCTTTGAATGAATTTTTTGTTATTTCTTAATTTTCATTGCCATATAATGTTATTTTTGGAAATATTCATTATGTGTTGTTGAACTTCATGTCTGAAAAATGATGCCAGAAAAGTAAAATAATTTAAAATTATTAGCTTCTTTTTTTCGTGTTTTTTCCTGACAGAATTAATGACATACTTTTACATACGATTCAAGTATTTGATTCAGATGGTTCTCATTTGATTCCATTTCATTTCATTTTTCAGACTATACATTTTCTTGACAAATAAAACGATAACAGGATATCACTTAAACAATTTCCGATTAAACAAGCACTAAGTTTCATTATTTTTATATGCTTTATCTAATCGAACAACAACAAAAAGATTTGACAATAATCTAGTTATCATTCTATCTAGAATTATCTTTTGAAGATAATTTCATTTAAATTGAACTAGTAACGTTTGCTGAATCTGTTTATTATATGTCTGTCTTTAGCATTTTTTTCTAATTCAACAATTTTTTTTGCTGATATTCTGTTTTATTTCCTTTTTTGTTATTTTCATATTTGATTTTTGTCGATAATCTATTCAATATCACGAACAAACGATGTACGTTTCTCACAATTTAATTTATTCAAAAACATTTTTCTGTTGAATAAATACATCACTATGGTAAATCTAAAAATTGAAAAAAAACATTCATCAGTCCTAGTTTTTTTTCAATAGTAAAAGTTTTAAAGTATATCATTTTCCAATAGATTTGAATTTCGTTATTTATTCGAGATAATTCAATATGATACTTTTTATGTTCAATAAGTTTTTTATGAATTTGCCTCGTTTTATATTCTAATCACATCAAAAATTTTGATAATTGTTTTTCAAGTAAATTTGATCATATTTGTGGCCATCATTATGATATCAGAATGAAAATCAAATTAGGGTGATTTATTTTTATTGAAAATTTTGATTTAACAATAAAAAAAGTTCATTTTTCATAAATATCTGTAAAAAAATTTGAAACTTCATCTTTTTTCTCTTGAACTGATGTAACGATAAATTTTAAAAAATAAATAAATTTAAAACTCAGTTTTTCTCTATTCAGTTATTGAATATTTGATAGCAAATTAAATTATTTGAAAAAATAAAGTCTATTCCTATTACTCATTATGGTTTTTTGTTTCATTTTGATAATTATAATTGCATTCATGTTTTTTTTTTTGAAGAATATTCGTCGTCAATACCATTCTATTCATAATGAATGCAAATGTATCCAAGCAAACTATAGTAGCAACTAAAAAATTGTTCATTAGAATGATGTTGTTTTCAATATGAATGTTGAATAGAATTATTCTAATATTATTGTTCATTCTCAAGAGATATTTTCTTTTTTCTTAATGGAACAACAAAAAACAAAATTATGGACATTCGTCACGAAATGGCTAATGAATCTATCAATTCTATTGAACTATTTTCAAAAAAAATCTAGCTTACTCATTATTCTTGTTGTTCGTATCCATTCATACATAATAACTGAAATGATGACAACAAAATGATAAGAATCAAATAAAACAGGTTTGTTTTTACAAAAAACAAAACAAAACAAATAAGTTTGTTTTTTGAAGCACTAGTTCATATAAACTTAACTTTATTGTTGATTAATGTTGTAAAATTAACAATTCAAATAAATTCACAAAGGTTTTATTCCATGTTGTTTGGTCATATATATGAAATAAATTTGAACTAAAAATTCAACATAGTTATTTAATTTTTTTTTTAAATTCTCGTCAATAATGATGAAACCGAACAAACTGGAAAATTCTTATTTTAAATAAAAAACCTTTTCCTCTTATTTATATTAATGTAGGTAGACGACATATCATCATATGCAATTCAATTCGATTTATTTGGATGATAACCTGAAAACGGGAAATAGATAAAAGCAAATATTTAGACTTGACTTTCATTGTGGTTTTTGTTTTTTTTTTCAGTTTATGGTAAACATATATGTTTGCGAAAATGGACAAATAATTTATTGATTCCAAATCATTATAAAATAATATTCTCGTGATGAGTAAGAACTTTCTTCAAAATATTTAATCATAACCTGTTTGTTTGAATTTATTTGTATGTCATTTTTTTCGTAATGTTTTTCTTTGTAGTTCAGTGTTTAATATACAGTGGTACCTCGGTTAACGACAACTCATAGAGGTGCTTGTTAACCGAGGTACCAGTGTAGTTTATTTGATTTAACCTTAATGGAGGTTATTGATTTTGTTTGTTTAGAACAAAATTGATTAAACACTTGATGTTTAAAAAGTTGATATCCATTTTTTTTCATTGCATCCTATACGGAAATCATGCATTAACTCCCAAAAAACATTGACGTATATGTTTGGTCAATTCGACTAGAAAGAATAAAATGGATAATTTATTTGATACTATATAGTATGACGTCGATTATATTTTTGTTCATGTGGTTGATTTTGATTATATTCGATTGAATTAAATAAAAATTATAACGGAAAATCATGGGATTTCCTGACACACACACCCACTCATTTATCTATGATATTAGACGGATTTGATTATATATAATAGAATGGATAAACTGAATTATCGTAACTTACAATATCAACCACATCATCAAATTTATCGTTAGTATTCAATTAGTATCTCTATTATTTTCTTTTATATAGAATTGTTTTCTTTTTTGTTTTGTTTTGTTAAAAATATCAATATATTAATGAAGTAGATACAGAAGTATCGTAAATTTTATGACGGGCGAATAAAATGATCAATAAATTCTATCGAAATACAAAGACCGAGAACAAAAATTCTATCGCATCAATATATTTCTTGTTGATTCTAAACTGGGAGGGGGCAATGTTTTTTTATGACCGATTTAGGACCACTACTACCATCATTTTGAACAACTAAAAAGATGTTGGCGGTTGATAACTAAGAAAAAAAGACAAACTGAGCTTGTGTGAAAAATTCGTTAGACACGAATTAGTAATGAAAACCGATATTGAAAACGAACTGCATATAAAAGGCAATTGATCCAAATTTATTTCTTTTATTTCACAGTAAATGCAACAAACGAAACCTGCTGCTTTTCAAATAAAATATTTCAACAATTTCATTTATCATAAATAATCATTTGACTTTGTTTTTATTTCACTTTTATCATTAATTGCAACATTGTACGAATAAATTAATTTTAATTTCGAATCATCCAGTGATCTATTTGTTTATCTATCTATTTTGCAATGTGAGTTACAGTTAATTGATCAGTTTTTATTTGCGAAAATTCAAATGTGTTCATGATTAACATAATTGTATGACTAAAGTTATTGATTTTCGATTTTATATCCATTAGCAATCTATTTTGAAATTTTAATCAACTGGAATTTGTTTGTAAATCAATAACTAGTGGTTCAATATTCAACAAAATCTATTTATAGCTAATGTTTGCTTCTTTTTGTTTACAAAAAATAAAAAAATAAAATGTCAAAAAATAATGAAATCCTTAAAATGCAATGCAGTGAAATTGACGTTACAGGGGCATTCATTTTTATTTTAAAATTGTTGTAATAAGAGATCTACGACATTGTCTACCCTTATAAATTGAATCATTTTGAATGAAAACCCATATACAAATTCCAAGAAATTTTTCATATTTTATTCTACCAATATGAACATAACCATGTTATTATAATGATTTTATAAAAGTGAATGCTGTTTTGCTTGTCTGTCGTTTATATTTCAAATACAAATACTACTAATTCTATTCATGAGTTTTTATCATTATTTAGAAATTAGATCGATATTCACTCAGTTACAAATGTTCATACTCATACATTCAAGCATGTATAATATGTAGAAAATAATTGAAATAGATGGATGAATCTATATCGAAAAATCATTTCGGTTCAATGATTCATTTGATTCATTTTCATCATGTTCGGTTGAATAAAAATTCCAATTAAATTCGACTATAGTTTATATCTAATTAATTTGATCGATATATGATATCTGTGGTTTTTATTTCTCTGGAATTTTTTTTTCGGTAATAAATTTCATTTCACTGCATTATGTTTCCTGTCATAATAATCAAATTTCCAAATCGTCCAGATCAATTTTTCGTAATATAATTATGATTACTAAATGTAATTTATGTTTGTATGTAATTGCAACCAAACCTAATATGATTAATATAAGTAGAATGGAATGTTATATCATCACAAATGACATCATTATGGCAAAACAAAAAATTTTTTGTTATTTTTTCCTATCCATCATCATCATCATCATCATCATCATAATGATCAAAATTGTTAATACCAAAAAAAAATACACCAAATATACTGTATTAGATAATGAGAATTTATTAACCTAATAAATAATAATGGAAATAAAAAAACAAAAAATAAACAATGATGTTGATTTTTATTTGTTGTTTTGATACATAATTTCTATTTTTTTTTTTCTATTCTTTGTAATTCCTTTTTCATGTTCATTATGAAGTTTCATTTTTCTGCTTTTAATCTAAATGATATTGTTAATATACAAATGTAGAATCTAAATAACTTTATTAAAATATATACGTGATTATGATGATGATGGACTTTCTCAATCACGTTAACGATACCGACATTAATCCTTTTTTTTGACTAACATGTTTTTGATCTGATCGAATCGAATCTGTACATTTTTTATAATAATATATCAAATTCCATTGGCTAAAAATTTTTAAATCGGTCAATAGTCTTTGTTTTCTACCGATTCATCTAATAAACTAAAAAGTTTGAACACTTTATTCTATTAGTTTTTTGATCATATTTTTTAAAAATCCAGATTTTGATTTCATAATTTTTTTTCCCAGTAACAAACTAATCAAGTTTAAATCTGATTTCATAATTCTTTTATAGCATATAGAATAACAATCAAATAAAAATGGCCAAAATTTCTCGATTGAATTGTGTAACCATAACCATATTGATTATTAGTATGATCGTTGGATATATGGCAGCCGAATACATGTCAACGGATGATAGTAAGTTTTCTCATTCGAATTAATCAATCAAATTATTATTTTTGTTGTTGTTGGATGATTTAGATCAAGATGATCTTGATTATTATGGTATTATGTTGGCGAATTTGATAAATACACGACAATTTTTACCAGATAAACGTAGCTGCTTACGACGTGGTTCACCTTGTGATCATCGTCCAAATGATTGTTGTCCACAATCAAGTGAGTAACTCTTGACACATTTTGAATGTTTGTAGAGTTTTTTTATTTTCTTTCTCTTTTGGTGTTGATAACGAATATTATTTTGTGAATGAAACTTTATTTTCTGTTTATTTTTCTGATGAATACCATTTATTAGTTTGTTGTGTTCTTTCCATATTTATTATCATGTTTAATCTTTCAGGGATTTAGTTTTTTCATGTTCTTTTTTACCATATTCAGAATTGAAACTTAATATCCGATATAAAATGCGGATAAATCTAATGGAAAAAATAGAAACGTGATAAATACGTTAAATAATTTAATTCTGCTATTTAGTGTTATTTTCAATGGGTTGCATGAGAACGTATTTACGCACTCAAAAATCCCACAAATGTCTTTGTTGAGGTAATTTTGTTTATCAGCCCGGAAAAAAACAACCTCTTGATATCATAAGACATTAGAAAATTCATCCGATGTTTATAATTTTTTTTAGTGAAGCAAATATAAAAATAAAGCACTTTTAATGTTTGAACAAGAGATTTTCATTCTCATTCGCTTAAAACATTTTGAAATAGCTTCATTGTTATTTTTATGATGATAAAGTCGAATCAAAAAATGTTGTAAAAATTTCAAGATAAGATAAGATCCGAAAAGAAATGGATGGAAATTTTCGGCAACATTTTCTTTTTCGGATCATCATCATCATCATCAAAATGTTCATCCGAACAGGATTAGTTTCTATAGACTACGTCAGTTGAAATTTTATTTTATTTCTATATAATATTCTTATTTTTTTTTGTTACAAGTATATGACAGTAAAAAAAATTCTTTGAGAAATCGTGCCATACGTATACGATCAATTTTAATAATTTGGTCTTTTGTTTATTTGTTTTTTTTCATGAGATTTATATGAGATTATATCATGTCATTCAAAAAAAGATGAAAATTTTCAACCTGTTATTTTCTTCAATTTTTTAATATTATGATAATAGTGTCTGTTCGATACTTTTCTGAAATTCATATTAAATATTGTTACTCATACATCTTTTTTTTCTTTCATTTTTTATTTATTCAAAAATCTTCAAATAAATAATACAGTATGCCGATGTAATCTTTGGGGAACCAATTGTCGTTGTCATCGAATGGGATTGTTTCAAGTAAGTTGATACATTGATCAAAAAAAAAAATTTATGATTCGAAAATAATTATAATGCATTATCATAATTAATCGTTTTCATGAAATTTTCTTTTCTATTTTTATTTCATTTTTTTATAATAATAATAATAATAATGAATAGAAAATTGGTAAAAAGTAAAAATATCATATCAACAATCAATAATCGCACTGAAACAAAACTACACTTAAACAAACACACATATACACACACATAGACAAAACATCAATAGTGACAAACCAAACATCCAACGGAATATATTTTCATCAATTAACATCTTGAAAAAAATTGTACTAAGTGATGACAGACAAAAATTTATAAAATAAATCATTATCGCAAGTACTTGAATGCTGGAATAAAAACAACAAAATAAAATAAAAAACGATGAATCAATCCTGTAGAATCGCAAATCAAAAAAAAACCAATCAAGAAACCAATAATGGCTATGTTTTTACATTAGCTTAAAATTGATGGATCGAAATATAATTGACCACTTTAAGATTTTTTTTTTTTTGTTCAGAATTTCTTCATTTTTCTTACAGAAAAACAACATATCTTTCAAAACAGTGATGACAATAATGATCGCAATGATAATAATATCATGAAACCATTAATACCATTACATTATTATTTCATCGTAAGTTGTATGACAATGTTGACAATTCCGTTGAAATTGAATCATTTTTTTCTGTTTTTATGAAATTTTATTCATGTTTGTCAATCAACAATTATATTCATAAATATTACAAAAAAAATTATAAATCTGTCAATCAATTAATAATTGTCCGAATCAATCAATAAATTTATTTGTCTGTTTCACACACAAACATAAATTCACATTTGATTATTTTTTTTTCTCTCTCTCTTCTTTTATTCTTTATTTATCCTGAATTTATTGTTGTTTTCCCACCAATGACAATTACGTTTTCGACTTTTTGAATAATGATGATGATGATGATGATGATGATGACAAATGAATAAAAACAATTTTTTTTTTGATTCTCTTCATTATTTTTTAAAATGAAATTTCGACATGAATTGAATTAAAGTAGATTCTAAGTTCATTAAAAATCGATGAAAATATCCTCAAAATTCTGTGTTTTCAGTTTCTCACAGAATTTTGGTCTATTTTATTGTTATTACAATATAAAACTTTACAGGTAACAAGCAATAAAAAAAACCAGACCATTTGGGATTTGTTTTTGCAATGCTTGTTTGTTATTGATTGTAAGAAATTTGGCAACTTTACTGGCCTATAAAAAAATCAACATAAAAGCAATAATAATCGATTATTTTCTGGGACAAAAACAAATTTTCAGTTTATATAAGAAACATACGATTATCAGTAATAATCATTCATCCATGTTGTAACAAACATGGCCGATTCAGATCTTGGACTAATGTGTCGAAGTTTGACAAAAATTTTCGGAATGAAATATCGAAATAAACATTCAATATTAATGATCGGTCTCGGAATTTTAATTTGGATCGATTATATCAATCTATTCTTCAATTTTATTCGATCTATCGATGCTGACATTGATGAAGATTGTTTTCTTCTTGAAATGGGTTGTGTATTTTTTGGAAAACGGGTGAGAGTTGTGGGCGATCTTTTAATGATATCGTATCGGACTATCCTTTTTCTTATGTATAATCGCTGGTATCTTGATGACCAACAATGGCTTCGTATGGTTAATCTTCACTATGACGAATTGGTTAAAGAAGACATTCATCTTCCGTTGGAAACAGTAGAGAAAACAGTTCGGAAAGCATTCACTATCACAATAACTGTAATCATTCTTTTCAATGTCAGTTATTTTCTTATTCAAAATCCACAAATTTATGATAGACTTCTAACTCATCTCTATATTTCACTGAGTACATATTTATCTGGATTTTTTCTTACCTTACCATTTATTCTTAATGATATTTGTGCATCGTTACTTCGACAATATTATCAACGATTTCATTTACATCTAACTGAAGGAAGTTTAAAACCACAATTTGTTCAAACATTCTGGAATCTATATCTAATGATTCAATATGCAAAAGTTTTTTTGAAAGAATCATATATGATTGTTGTGGGATGTTTATTTGCTTCAGTGCTTGAAATTTATTATTTTGCTTTCTATTCGGATATTCATCCTGTCAAACGATATATATGTGCAATTCTACTCTTTTTAATCATACAGAATATCATCTCTTTTTCGGTAGTATTCGGTCAAATTGATCATGAAGCAAATGCATTATCCGATTTAGCATATGAATATGTTAATGTACGCCGTTTTCATAATGGTGAATCTAATTACAAAAATAATATGCAACCAAAAGTGGGCTATGCAGGTTATTCTAAATTACCCGAAATGATTGATTGTTTAAATCAGACGCTTGGTGTTGAAGTGATGAACACTCCTATCAATGCAGCCACTATAATTAAGGTATTTGACCATTTTTCACCTGTTTCACCTAACAATTTTTCGCTAATTGATTTTTTGTTAATAGTTTATTTCGGCATTCTTTTCGATTGTTGCATTAATGTTTCAACATGGTGATCCTAATGTTTTGATCGACATGACAAAATCTGAAAAACAATAGTAAATTTAAAAAAATTTCGTTTATCATCAAAACTAATGCTTGCTGATCAATTACAGATTTTAAACAACACAATAGCACTCTATCGCAAGGATATCAGTTTAGTCTGAATGACATCGAAATTTTATCACTATCACTATCATCATCATCCTACACAAATTTAATGCGGCAAAATCTTTTTGCTTAATCATTATTTTCGCTCATTTGTTTCTTTTTTTTCATTCGAGTTCAAATGTTCAATCTATTGTATTATTAAAAGTAAATTAATTTCATTCGCCACAAAGAAAATTTTCATTTATCTATTGTGATTAAATCATGGATGATGAAAATGATTCACAAATGACTACCAATGCAACTTTTCTTAAACTATCTACGTATGTGGAAAAAAATTTCCACAATGTTTCATTTGATTTTTCATTGTATCCGGGTTTTAATTCAGCATTAAACATTGAACGTTTATTATTGCTAAATCTATCGAAATTGAAATATTTTATTGAAAATTATGAATGGCTACCATTTGCTTTTTCATTATTATATTTTATCATTATTGTATGTTGGATTCCACGATTAATGCGCACTCGTCAACCATATCGATTGAATGATGTTATTTCATTCTGGAACTTAACAATGGCTTTGTTTTCGATTGTAGGCACCTTTCGATTGTTACCCGAATTGATCTTCATGATACAAAACTATAGTCTTTTTCAATCGATCTGTGACGATCGTTATATTGACGTAAGTGTCTTTGACAATCTACGTCACCTATTGTACGCATGTTTTTTTTGTTCATTTTTTTCCAATTTCGGTATTATAGGATCCAAGATTTTTTCTCTGGATGTTCCTGTTTCAATTTTCTAAAATATTCGAGCTACTTACCAGCTTATTTATCGTGTTGAATAAACAAAAATTACTATCGATTCATTGGATATATTACATTATTTCATTGTGTTATTCATGGCAAATGTTAAATATGCCGAGTAATACTCGTTGGCTAGTCTGTACAGATTTTCTAGTCCATTCTTTTATGCATCTGTATTTTGCAATGAAATTATCAACACCGCACCCACTACCACGTTTATTTCCCATATTAATAACACTATTACAAATCATACAGGGAATAATTTGCCTAATAACCGAATGGGTTACTTTATGGTATCCGCAACAGGTTTGTCATAAACAAAAATACCTATCTATCATCGGTTTTACTATTTATGCCGTATTTACGGTTTGGTTGATTCGCATTTTCATTGAAAAATATCTACCAACAAATGATCATGAAGCAAATGAAATAAAGAAAAATGAATAAAAAAATTCAATTGAATTCTCTTTGTGCTGCCATCTCCATGTACAAATTTAACTAACTTTAAAAAGATTTTGCTTTCAAGGAAAAATAAAATTACAAAATAATTTCATGATCAAAATTTTATTTAAAATGTTGAACGACGAAAAAAAACGACCGGATAGATGATATTAAGCCATTTGACAGGATTAAAAAAAATTTAGAAAATATATTCCATTTTAATTTCATGATCAACTATAATCAGTTATATCATTTATTTAGGGACTAATAAATTTTATCAAAAAACAGAATAAGATATATTGATAGCCCAGGTATACCGATGAATATTGCAAAGAAATTTTTCAAAATTTGTAAATTTACAAGTTATAAGTAATAATAGAAAAGATTGATTTGTTTGTTTCGCGATTGAATTTCAAAATGACAAGAAAATAGCTAGAAATTTTAATATGTTACAATAGAATAGTTTTTTTTCTAAATATCATATAAATGAGTGTGTTTATGAAATTAGATCAATTAAAGCTTAAAGTAAAGTGATTATTTGACATAGTATGTGTGTGTGAGTGAGAGAGAAGAATGGTTTCTCAAAATGTCTAATTGAAAAAAACTATTTACAAATGATGAAAATGACCAAGCATTTTGGGAAATTTATAATACAACTACAAAAAAAAATCAATTTTTTCGTGGGAAAATTAGGATACTAGGTGTGTCGAAAGAGAATATCACAATGCCATAGAACAAAATATAAAATGAATATTCATTTTTCCATTCCGTACAAAAATTTTGCTTGAATAGATCAAAATTAAGCAATACGTATAAGCCAAATGCTAAATATGTTGAATAATTGAAAAGAATTTTCCTATTGTTTAAATGGTTAAATTCTTTTTTATTTTTGTTGTCCTTCGAATTCATCAATACCGTAGGATGAAATGGGAACAGGAGGTACCGATATTGTAGTTGCATTCGTCACAATGAAGCCACCGGTTGAATTATCATTAATTTGGATTTCGTTTGATGATGAATCTTTCAGTGGAAAATCCGGTGGACTAGATGATAATTCTAGAAATGTTTGTCGAGATGATGATGCTTCGACAACAAAATGATAGAGTTTATTATATTTATCGCGAGCCATTTCGCGAACCATTAACAATTGATTGTATTGACTTTCCAAGGAACCTTTTTGAGAATACATGGTGTCCACTTCGGATTGTAATCCCATTATTTGATCTAGTTTACGTTTTCGACAATTTTGAGCTGCAACTTTATTTTTACCTATTCAAAATAATAATATTCATTCAATGAACGTTTTGTTTGCTTAAATCAATTATAATCACTAACCTCGTCGTCGTATATCACGGATGAGCGACAATTGAATTTCAGTCAATTCATATTTGGTCAATCTTTCATTGAATTCATCGATCGGTAGATTGATAATATCTTCAGTTGTGATTGGAATATTTAAAGCTCGAGCTCTCTTTTCATCACGATTAAAATGATTAAGTTCTTTATCACTACTGATACTACTGGTACGTGATTTTGAATGACGATTTGATTTTTGTTTATCGTCTATATTCTCATTCTGTGAATCATCTTCGACGTTTTCCTGTTTTATCCAATCATTCGAAGATGAACAAGACATGCTTGTACTAGACATTGATGAATGTATCGGTGCATTATTAGACAATTGAGCATAGGTATGATTATGTTGTACAGCAGTTGCTGGATAATAATTGATTGAATTATATTGGCCAATATCGTTGGAATCAATCATAGAATATGAGGCAGAGTTTGAATAAAGATAATTAATCGGGGGATATTCGCCATAATAATCGGTCAATTGTACGATACTTTTACTTTCGTCATTTTTATTGCCACTATCTTCATTGGTGTTCACAGCAGTATTATTACTGTTAATACTGTTTTTACCAAACAGGCGATATTTTTTCTTTGCAGCTGAATTATTATTACCACCGGGAAGATTATTCATTTCACAATTATATGATGAAGATTCAGATGAAGTTTCAATTAAATCCTACAGTTCAAAATAAAAATATAATAGAGTATTATAGACAAGGCAGTTAACTTACATTATCTGATAAAGAAAGAACACGATCGGAACTCATTGATGATACGGCGGAATCACTACTTTTATCAAAACAATCCTCAGTGTTTGTATGGGCAAATTTTTGCTGTTGTTCTGGATTGTTATTATTGAGTAAGTTTTGTGTAACAGGTGTTGAGGTAACAGGCGTGGACTGTGTTGGAATGGAATTATATTCGAAATTCTGTCCATGATGATTGATATCAGTCGAATAATTATTAGAATTATTATATTCATCAATATAGCCAGTATAGAAACAATCAGGCACGGAATTATTTGCTGGAAATGATACATTGTTCATATAAGTATTGGCATCGCTGATGGTAACACCATTATTGAATCCATTATAAGATGATTCGGAATTCAAATGATCTTGACCATTTGACAATGTAGTTAATGAAGAATAAAGTACGGCACCGAAATTGTTTTCATTTTCATTGTTATTGCTGCTATTATTATTGCAATAATAGGGCCCTATAAAATAATTCATTTTCGGCGATAAAATATTTATTGCATTAGATATTATCAACGACATACCGGAACAATTATTAAGAAGTTGCCCATTGGAACCTTGTTCATAAAGATTACAATTTTGTGTAATGTCATATATTGGATATTCGGGGCCATTTTCATCGGTTGCGGTTGCTGGAGTAGGATTCGATTGATATCCATTATATGATGGCCATTCAGGATGGCTACCACCATATGAATCGGTTTCATTCTAAAAAATACAAATAAAAATAATCATTAATAATCGAAAAATACATGAAGAAATGAATAAAAAAAAGAAATAAAAACTTATAAACTAACACATTTTTTGATTAAACAATACTCATTAATAGGATTAGGATTAGATATAGCCGTTGTTGGGAATGGTGAAGTCGAACTCAATATATAAAGAGAACCACCGGTACCGTTAGGATTTTCCATCATCATCATTAGACAATTGTCAGATTCAAGAAATAAAAATAATATTGATATCAAACAAATAAGAATAACAATGATGAACGAAAAAAATGTATATAAAAAATCAATTTGTCGATGACGATGTCAAAATTTGAAATGAACAATCGAATATGATTTTTGCGACTAGAAACGCAGAAAAAAATATATCTATCGAAGATGTCTTTGACTTCCGACGATAGAAACATAATACATTATTATCTGACTATAGTTATAAATGTATTGGATTTTATCAAACATCCGAAAAAATCATCTACAACAAAACAAATAACACATAGGTGAATCATAATTCAGTATACCTAGATTTTTTTTAAATATATAATAATCAACAGGTAAAACGCCTTCTTATAAATGAACATAGCAAACAAAAGAGGTGGTGACCTGAAAAGGAGGTGCGGTCTTCGTAAATGTAGTGGCAAAACTAATAATGATCATTGTCACAACATTCTATTGTTTATCAACAGGTGAAAATTGATTTTTTTTTCGGTTGTTATAAATTGTCTATCCTACCAATGGCTATGAGATGAAAATTATTTTCATTATAGTATTAAATGAACATTCCGATTAAGGCTAAAATTCCTTTGATAAAACTTCTGAATCAAAAATTTTAATTCATAATACAATACATTTGACATTATGAAATAGGATGCCCACCAACATTGCTCAATCAAAAAAACAAAACAAAAAAAAATGGAAACCGAAGCAAACGTGACCAAGCATTAAAATCGGAATAATCACATAATCACACATTTAAGCATTAGGCTGATCTCATTCAAAATTCTTGCATCAAATTCTATGAGAGAGTATAAAGTACAGAGGAGAGAATCATAATCGAATCAAGAAAAAAAATGGTAACATTGTTTTAATAGTAAACACAATCTCCATCACAGGCGATGGTATCAAAAATAATTTTTGTTGTTGTTCACAATTGACAATCTGTGTGTGTGTGTGTTTTTTTTTGTATATGAGTGGAACTAATCATTGACAAATAATTGAATCACATATGATGCATCACGGAAAATGCCAACGACACATTCCAGAAAATTCAAAAATTTCAAAAAAGTGTAGTATTTAATAACACGAATATACAATGATGTCTATAATGATATGTTGATTAGATTCATTAAATTCATATCCGTAAGGATTATTTTTCGTGTTTATAATGGATTCAATTTTATCCTATTCATTTCTGGTCATGGATAAACACACACAAAAAAAAAACAAAGACCAAAACAAACACAGAATAAATGTATTGAATATAGATGATAGTCATAAATAATTAATATTTTTTCGTCCCAATTTGTGATTAAATTATTATTATCATTTTTTCGTATTTTTCCACTCTTTCCCATTCGAAAAAAACAACGAAATAAACAAAAAAAAAACAAAAAATTGACAAGCGTTTTATATTTAATTTTGAAATAACCGAGATGAATTAATTAAAACGAAAAAAGAAACAAATTTTTAAAAAACTAAAATGATAAAAATGAATTATGACCATTCATTTCTAAACCAAACAAACAAAAAAATTCATTCAATTTTTTTTATTTACAAAACAAAAGATGAAATAAAAAAAATCAATCGATGACCAGAAAATTAGTTTTAAAATTTACAACTAACATTCTAAAAACAGAAAATCTAGTACGAAAAATCAACACATTACGAAGGACAAATGAATATTCAAAGAGAGAAAAAAATGGGTTTCCATTAAAAAAAATGATAATGTTCGACCTCCTGGTGGATATTCATTTTTTTCAACAAAAAAATTGCAATGAAACATGATACATTGAGTTTTTTGTTTCAAAAAAAAACAACTTTAAAATTAAAAACTCAATAATTCAACTACCAACAAATTAAAGCGGTCACCCTTATGATCATAACGTGAAAAAAGTAAATATCGATTTCTCCGGTATATCGATACCTTTTCTCAATATGTTTCACTTAATTCGAGGTTAACATAGTAAATCAACAAGTGTCCTGTGTAAGTTTATATGTCAAACAAATACACACACACAACATAGGTCGGTCGTCCATTTGTCGCCAATCTAACCAGCTGTCATTCTTAATTGCGAAAATTGTTCGTTTTTTTGAAAAAAAACGATTATGAATTTGAAAAAAAATTCTCATAGATCTCACACGCGCACGTACTTGATTTGGAAAATTTATCATTGCTGCCGTGTTTTTGAAAACTATATTTTGGAAAATATTATTCCAATCGATATACAAGTTCTTGAGAATGACCAAAAGAAAAAAAGGAGATATAAATTATAAACGTTATATATATTCAGGTCAATTAAAAACTATAGTAATTGTTTTTGTTTGTCTTTGTTTTCGTTTCTATCGGTCATAGTGGATATATAATGAACTATGGGTAGATTATTGTTGTAAATGAGAAAAAGGAAACCAAAATTGATCGGAAAAAATAAAATTTACATATAAAGACAAAGACAATCGAAATCGATCTTTGACTAAATCAACTATTTTCACTACGTTGTCACCATATTAATAATAATAATTGATATTGTCAATTTCCGTTCTCAAAATCAGAGCAAAGAAATAATAAAATTGAAAAAAAAGAATAAATAGATTGGATAAAACAAAAAAAAAACTTACCGATAATAATAATTCAAGTTCATCAAATAAATCATTAACATCACCATTATCACCGGAACCAAGAATAGGTAAAATTTGATCACCGAGTAAAAATTCATCAAATGATTCATCCACATTATTATTATTGTCTTCAATAATTTCTCGTTGTTGTTGTTGATAATTCTCGTTTGATTTTGATTCATTTCCATTATCATCAATGGATCTATCTTCCAGGTGTCGATCATTATTATTATTATTATTATTATCAATATCATCATTAAACAATGATGAATAATTTTCAGCTTGAATCAATGGATCTATCCATTATTAAAAATAATGAGGTAAAAAATATAGATTTCATTTATTTAAGTTGATAAATCAAAACACATATATAAATAATTATTCATTTCAAACAAACAAAACAAAAATCAAGTTTTTTTTCTCATGGAAAACATTGCTAAATCTTTTTTCAACACAAGACATCACAATTAACCCGTAAGAATTATCATTATATATTAACTTCTGAATGAGAAATAAATTAAATAAAATGAAAAAAAAACACTCAATTCATTCAAACTCGTGCTTGTGTGTATGCAATAAATATAGAAATCCGGAAAAAAAACCTACAATACAGTAGCCATATACATGAACATGAAGATATTTTATCATTTTTTTTTCTTTCTCATTCACTGATGCATTATCATTATGACTTTTGAAAATAATAAATCCCAAGCAATAAAACAAAAATCGAACCATATCATCATAACTTGTGTGCAGAAAAAAAACAATGTCTCATCCCATCCTATCATTCACAGCTCACACCCCATTCATCATCGATGATATGGTCGATTCCAAGAAAAAATTCCGGACATCATTCTAGAATATAATTTTTTCATAAGAAACATTTTTCCAATAAAAAAACAAACAAATACAGAATATGAACAAATTTACAAGGACGTATATCCAGTATGGGAAAAAAATAATTTTGTAATGACAAGAAAACGATTTATTTCTTTAGACAAATCATTATTGACCAAAATATTAGTTATTGTTTTATCACCATCTTTGACAAATAGCCTAATCATTCGCAATTACATGGCAAGAAACATTAATAATGATGACGATGATATCCTTTAATATGTACACCATACAATTCATCAATATTGGTCAATATTCGTCATCATCACATTTTATAAGATGGTCAATGATGACATTTGCAAATTTTTATCGATCTTTCACATATTTTTTAAAAAACAAAATTAATTAGATTTTGTTATTTTTATTAGAACGGAATAGAATGAATCGTATTTTATATTTAATAATAAAAACTGGTAGTCATAATTATAATATACTAAATCATTTCTTAACAACTAAAAAAAAAACATAAAATAAAATGGCCAACAGTAACAGGTGTGTTTGGCGACCAATTTATTTTTCGATAATTTTCTTTTTGAAATTGAAATCTGTTGCGCCATCTTTCGATCATTAATTATAACAATTTCAGTTTATTTTATTCGAAGGTTTTCGATTTTTTCCTTTTATAATTCACCGAAATTACAAATATTTAAACATTTGTTTTCTTCAAACATTTCGTTCATTTTATACAACATCCGTCTAATTAAGAAAAACTATTAAGGAAAATAACGATGGATGATCAAGAGCATCATCAGTGTGCATCTAATTCGAGGTTATATTCCAATCACAAAAATACAGGGAAAAAAGTGATGCGCACTTTTACGCTGAAAACATTTTGTCAATGAAAAATTGAAATTATGATCCTGACATTTACAACGAGAAACATCGAACGAATGAAAAATTATTTAGAGGATTTTAACACCGTCGATTTCATCTAAAAACTTTTTAAATTAAAATTTCCAATATTCTTTCTATGACATTACTTCATATAAATCACGTGCTTTTCAGAATCGCTTATCATTGGATTATCCTAAACTAATATTTTTTACCTACGCAAGGAAATTTTCTTGAGGACATTTACCTTAAAATTTGCTCAAGTGATATTTAATATTGCAACAGCATCCACAAAACACCTATCTACACCTACACACACAATAAACCTAAATCTTTTATCAAAAAAAAACTTTATGCTTGGTTGCTATTGAAATTCGTAAAGATCATTTGATTCCATTTCTTTTTCAATTTTTGTAGTAGTAGTAGATTGAGTAATGAAACATTTAGAAAAATGAAAAGTTTTTGATGGCGAAATAGATTAACCATTATCATAACTAAAAAACAATTATTCAATTATATACAACGACAAAAAAATGATCAACAAACAAACCTACAATATTACAATTATAATCTGCTTATTTTGCTATAAGTGTACCTAAAGTGTATGTAAGTTCAATATATCATAAATACTATTATGAATAAAAAAAAACAGATTATTACATTTCAAACGTAGGCTGCGTTTGAATAAAGAATTATCGAAGATATTTCTTCGCAGAATTTTTGACAGAATATTTTTTTGACGTTGATGCAATATCGAGAATAATAATCATACAGCCTACACGATATTAACGTCAAAAATAATACAGATTGAAAAAATACACATACACTTTCAAGCAATATAATTTGATCATGATGCCATTAAACTCATTTTCAAGATGTGATGGTGCCTCATTATCAAACAATGGTCGACCTACCAACACCAATATACATTAGATTGAAGGTAGGGTTTTATTTCAATATGTGCGTATGCCAAAAAAAAAATTGGCAGAATTACATCATACAGACACTCAACGAGTGAGCGAAAGAAAAACCAACAAAAATTTGAATCGATGTCAATATTATGAGGCCAATGTCACAAGTGGATGCGATGAAAAAGAATTAAATAAGAATAAATAAATAAAATGACATACCATCATTAAGATTTGGCCATATTGTATCATCATCATTGAATGGATAATTTCGTAGCTAATTTAATTTTAAAAAAATAAATTTGATTTTTGATGAAAAATAATCGATGAAACAGAATAACTAAGCTTACCTCAAAATCTATTTGATTTAGAATATCAGGATCAATTGATAATGAACTATTATCATCATTTATTCTTGAATTCAAATTAACGTTTGACGATGATAAGTGATTGCCAATTTCATCATTTTCTTGTTTGATGAATACATTGGAGGAAAATCCACCGCTAACGGGAAATGCAATTAAATTTGAACTATGATGATCCGGATGATGATGTAAATTAGAATATCTTCCTAATGAATTCAGATCATCAAGAATATCTAGTGTTTCACTTAATAATATCGAAGATTTTGTACGAAAATGTTGATTATGTGAAATTCCATTCAAATGTAATGAATGAATATCATCATTATAATAGAAATTTTCTACACTAATCGGTCCATTATTACGATCATCAATACCAAAATGAAGATTAGGTAACAATGAACGTCGATAAGGTAATAATGATGAAAGTTGATGATGATCAGGTGGTCGTACGGCTGTCAACAATAAAGCAATATAAAACCATTCGGCCAATGTCGATGTTTTCTTTGGTTGGCCCATTGTTATTGATTATTCGAATTAAATTTGCAAAAATTAAATTTCTTAATTAGAATTCAATATGTATGAATCGCATAGACACCGGGTATAATCGATGACAATGATGAAACATACAGCACACACTCCAATACATACAGCTGAACAACGAACAAAAAAACAGACGAATGAGACAATGATCGTTCAACTTCAATCGTACAAACAGAATGAATATATCTTGAGAATGCGATTCAATCATTCAAAAATGATTGGAATTGAATTCAAATCTTTCTTTCTACTTAGCCTTTTATGCGATGATCATGAGATGATTTTGATGGAGATCCCATGCAATGCTTTGATATTTTTTTTAGTTTTTCATACAAAGAACGTGTGTGTGTAAATGTATATGAACAAAACACAAATAAAAAACATCGAATACAAATTAACAAAACGCAAATACACAGTCTCAGAAAAAATCTTGATTTTAGCAATAAAAATTATTGAACAAAAACAAGAGGAAAAAATATCTAAGCAGCAACATCAACAAAAGCAGAGCAAACATCAGTATTATTATTATTATTAAATCAAAAATCAGCGCCACCGTTTGGCCATCAATGGTGTTGTTTTATATTCAAACTTTTGCTGCATTCATGCAATACAGCAATATCTTGAATCCGTCAAGTTTCCATACATCGATTGTGTTTAGCCTTATGATTATGATGATAATATATCATGACGCCCACAGGACAATAGTATACTATGGAGATGATTTTATGATCATGTCTTTGGCTGATTTTGATGTTTTCGCTATCGTAAAACGCCGACAAAACAAGTCATATTAATTTGTTTATGACGTTTTTTTGTTACCGGTACTTTTCGTTGGAAAACAATGTGAATCATGTTGATCGAAATAATTTGTATCTACAGGAAAAAAATCATCAACTTGTAATTATAATAATTAAATATTGAATAAATTTTTAAAAAATGACACACTTTACTTAAACTTTTAAATCGGATAAATTACGTTGGAATAAGCTTTGGGAAAAAATCATTTCGAATGTTTGGCATTTTTTCCTTTTTTTTCATCAAATCGAAAATCAAAAAATTTTTGAACTTGTCACCAAAAAATGTATAAATTCGAATACATTTTGCCAATCATTTCGAAACGTTATTTATGAACAATACATTCGAACACGGCTGATTTTCAGTTCGGTATTCAATTGAGAATTAATTGTTTGCATGCTTGTAAATTGTAAAAAAAATTCATTTATCGTTCAACGAAATTTTTTTTGGCATTGATCAAGTTTTTACAATTTGAACAGTTTTATAATCATATTCACTAATCAATCATGGCAGCATCGAATGGACAACAGATCAGTATTGAACAATTGACCAATTGTTTGATTCAAACATTATCGGCCGATTTGAATGTTCGTAAACCGGCAGAAAATTTTATTGAATCCTGTTCAAATAAACCTGGTTATAGCCAGCATTTACTTCAATTGATTCAACGTCCTGATATTGATCCAACTGTCAAACTTTGTGCGGCTATTGCCTTCAAGAATTTCATCAAAAAATATTGGACTGTTGATGATGATATTGACGCGATCAACGCAAATGATCGAATATATTGTAAAAATATAATCATTGATCTAATGTTAAACAGTGATAAAAAGATACAAAAACAATTGAGCGAAGCTGTTAGTTTGATTGGTAAAGCTGATTTTCCCGAAAAATGGCCAAATCTCCTTGAAAATATGATGGTCAAATTGAATGAAAGTTGTCAGCAGTATAATTTCAATATTATCACCGGTATTCTTCAAACAGTAGATTCTTTATTCAAACGATATCAATATGAAGCTAAATCAGAAAAATTATGGCAAGAAATAAAATTTGTTCTCGATACGTTTGCCAAAACATTTACTGAACTTTTCGTTTGGATTGTCAAATTGATTCCCGAGCATCTTAATAATGTACAAAACATACAAGTGATAATACAATCGTTAGTATTTTGTTCGGAAATATTCTACAGTTTGAATTCACAAGATTTAGCCGAATTTTTCGAAGATAATATGAATGTATGGATGACACATTTCATTCAATTATTTCAGTTGAATTCTAAAACTTTGGTAACGGATAGTGATGATGAAATGGGAGTTCTTGAACAACTCAAAAGTCAAATCTGTGAAAATATTACGATGTTTGCCGAAAAATATAATGAAGAATTTGATCCATATCTACCGGGATTCATTAGTCAAGTGTGGACATTATTAGATTCTTTAGATACTAAAGCCAAATACGATATATTAGTTTCAAATGCTATACGATTTTTATGTATTGTTGCTGATCGTGGCTTGCATAAAGAAATCTTCGAAAAAGAACAAATCTTGCAGCAATTGTGCTCAAGAGTGATTATACCAAATATGCGATTCCGTGAATCGGATGAAGAATTGTTTGAAGATAATCCCGAAGAATATATACGTCGTGATGTCGAAGGTGCCGATATACAAACTCGTCGTCGCGCTGCTTGTGATCTAGTAAAGGCATTGTCAAAACATTTTGAAAAAATTATGACCGAAGTATTCAGTAAATATATTGAAACAATGCTGATGAATTATTCCCAAAATCCTCAACAAAATTGGAAAAGTAAAAATGCAGCCATTTATCTGATCACATCTTTAGTGGTCAAAGGCGGTTCAGTTCGATTGGGCACCACAAGCACATCAGATTTGATCAATATTTCTAGTTTTTTCAATAATGTTATTCGTACTGATCTTGAACGTCCGGATATAAATGAAATGCCTGTTCTTAAAGCTGACGCTCTAAAATACATAATCATCTTTAGAAATCAATTGCCTGTTCATGAAATTCTCTTGGCTATGATGCCTCATATTATTCGTCATTTATCATCTCCTATTGTTGTCATTCATAGTTATTCGGCGATCTGTATTGAAAAAATTGCTACACTTCGCGATCCGAACAATCTGTCTTCACCTTTGATCAAGCCAGAAAATATTAGTCAACTTTCTCTTCAACTTCTCGAAGGTTTATTTGGTGTTTGGCAATTTCCCGGTTCACAGGAAAATGAATATTCCATCAAAGCTATTTTACGAATATTCAGTCTGCTTCGTGAACAACTGTTGCCTTATTTCAATGTTTTATTACCCAAATTGACCGAAAAAGTTGCCCAAGTGGCCAAGAATCCATCCAAACCGAATTTTAACCATTATTTGTTCGAAACACTCAGCATTTCCATACGAATCGCTTGTTCAAAAAGCGCAGCTTCAGTTCATAGCTTTGAAAATGTTTTATTTCCTATCTTTCAAACGATACTTGTTCAAGATATTCAAGAATTTACTCCATATGTTTTTCAAATTTTGGCTTTATTACTAGAAAATTATGGAACAACAGAACCGGTACCAGAGCCATATATGGAATTATTTCCTTTTCTTCTTGTCCCATTGCTTTGGGAACGACCAGCAAATTATGGACCGTTAACTCGTTTAATTCAATCATTTGTAAAATGTTGTTCAAACGAAATTATCAAAATTGGAAAATTGGAACCGTTATTGGGTGTATTTCAGAAGCTAATTTCATCCAAATCAAATGATCATTTTGCATTTAAAATTGTCGACAATTTGATCATATTCGCTGATTCAGCGGCAATCATGCCATTGATGAAACAAGTGTTTTTTATTCTGTTCCAACGATTAACCCATGCTAAAACAACCAAATATGTTCGTTCGTTGTTGAAGTTTTTCAGTTTGTTCGTACACAAGTTTGGTGCCAAAATTTTCTACGAATTGGTCGAATCATTACAAAGCAAATTGTTCCGTATGGTGTTGGAAAAATTGTTTATTGCTGACGCTCAAAAAGTAACAGGTGTTATTGATCGAAAGACAGTATGCATTGGAATGACGGATATATTGACCGATTTAGATAGATTCTTTTCGACAACCGATGATCTAATTACACTATGGGCTCCACTATTACAATGTTTGATTGCTGTTTTTGAATTACCGCAAGATAAAACTGACCAAGTTGAAGATCATTTTGTAGAAATCGAAGAAATGAATGTTGGTTATCAGGCATCATATTCGCGTTTAGTTTTTGCCACTAATCAGGAATTGGATTTGATCGCAGATATTGGACAGCCTAAATTATATCTAGCACAAAAGCTTCATCAGCTCTCAACTCGTTATCCAGGGAAAATATCCACTTTGATTTCATCAATGTCACCGGATGCTGCAAAATTTTTACAAAATTATTTCATCCTAGCCAATGTTAGCATTTCATAAATATCATCATCATAATCAATAGTAACAATTTATATGAGAAATTGTCATCATCACTTTAAAAATATACTCCATTTATTTTTGCTACTAATAATCATTGAAAATAAAATAATTTGACAAAATTAATTTATGAATCACTGTAATTTGGCTTGCGTTTTTCAATAAAAGCGGACATGCCTTCTTTTCGATCGTTCTGTTATTTTTTTTCAAATGAAATTTTATTAGTGTCAAATAGATTTTCATTGTGATGCTTACCGTTGCAAATGTACTATAAAACAGTTTCTTTTCCGTTTCTAGACCTTGTTTTAAAGTAGTTTCATAGGCTAAATGATTACAATGAAAAATGAGATAATTATCATTTATGTTTGCAAAATGAAATAATTTCAATTTTACCATAATTGACGGATGATTTACAGATTGCTACAACTAATTTGGAATTTTCACCAATTTTTTCAGCCAATTTTATAGCTTCATCGACAACCTTATCGGCGGGAAACACACGACTTACAAGCCCATATTCATAAGCTTCTTGAGCGTTAATCTGATTACCCGTCAAACACATCTCCATGGCACGAGATTTACCAATAAATTTGGTTAATCGTTGTGTACCACCAGCACCGGGTATCGTACCGATGAGAATTTCTGGCTGCCCAAATTTAGCCTTATCACCAGCATAGATTATATCACACATCATGGATAATTCACAGCCACCTCCAAGCTATTGAAAAATTAATATGAATCCTAGATAAAACATGAATGGTCATAAACATTACCGCATAGCCATTAACAGCAGCGATGATTGGTTTGGAAATGGATGTTATTTTGTCCCAATGAGACAGGAATCCTCCCAACATGACTTCATCAAATTTTTTATCGACCATTTCCTTGATATCGGCACCGGCAGCAAATGCTTTCTCCGAACCAGTCAACACCATTGCGGCAATACTTTTGTCCTTTTCGAATTGTTGCATAGCATCGACAACTTCATCCATGAGACCACCGCAAAGAGCATTCAATGCTTTTGGTCGATTCAATGTTACTAGACCAACATTCTGTTTGGCACCTTTCAATTCCGTTTTGATGTATTCATAGGCTATTAATAATAAGTTCATTTATTATAATAAGATCATTTATTATTAAAATCGGTCATTCGATATTTGTTTAAGAAAATATAACAATACCTTTTGTCGAAAGTGATCGAATAAATTGATTTTGATGATTATTTAAAATAAATTTTGAATAATTTCTTACTAATGCTGTCATTTTGAATTATTATTAATTACAAATTAGACAAGTTGATGAATCCAAACTGAAAATAATTTAATGAAAATTAAGAGAAAAATTTATCAATTAATATTTTTTTTAAAAAAAACTTGATCACGACATCGATATCACACGAAAAACAGAACCTTTCGTTAAAGATGGTGTGGAATATTAAAAATGGGAGGATCTTAAATCAACATTGAGCTTATTTTTCTTTTTTTCCCTCCTTCATTCCCCTGCAAAATTAAAACATATCATTTCAAAGTTGTATTTTGAATTTTGTTTATCTGCGAAAACTAAGTGACAAGTAAAGAAAACCTGAACTACTGTATCATTTTAAACTATCAAAACGAAATTTCCTCATCTTCATAATCTGATTTTCTGATGAAAAAATTCATGCCGTAATAAGTAATTTACCTGAATTCAATAATAATGAATTTAGCAATATGGTTATAAAGTGTTGATATTCAATAATAACTTTTTCAAACATCGATCATTATCATATGATTCGATGACGTGATCCTCAAATAATGTACGTATTTCTGAATGTACGCATGCTTCAATTGTTTTCAGACAAAAATAAAACCATCTTCAATTTGCAACATTAAATAAAAATGCTCGTCACTATATTGATTGGCCATTTCAATTTTTCTAGCCAACTTTGATAATTTGCCTACATGTTTGGGTAGATATAATGCATAAAATTAATAGAGATAATTTCGCCAATCACATAAAACTTGTCAAGTAAATCATTAAAAAAAAATTTCCTTTCAATACATCGATGTACCCGATTTCATATTTTGGCTTTTAAAAAGAAAATTCTATTTTTTTTTTTGCTTTTTCATTCAATCATTCATCATACATTGTTTGTTAAATTCGATCAAGTTTGGCTGATAGAATTTTTTTTTTCTCCAATCGATATCACAAGAAAATTTGGTTTCTATCAATAATTAAAAATAATTTTTTTTAACAAGATGTCAGCAGTTCTTGAAAAAGTATGTACTTTGCTGTATCTCTGTATGATTAATCAATAATTGAACTGTCAAAATTTATGAATTTTGTCTTTTTCTAAATAATTATTTCCTTTAAATTTGTTTTGTTTTGTTTTCTATAATCGATCAAATTTCACTTTTTTCGACAGTTCGATCAAATGCAACCCTTTCATTATGTTCGAAAAAAAGTTTTGATACTTTTTGTATACAAATTATAAAATAAAAACATTAAAGCAAAAAGCAATGATGAACCTGATAAGGATGTTTTTTTTTATCATTTCCTAATTCCTTGTCAATCTCGTTAAACCCACATTTTCCAAGAATTTTTTTTTCTAAATATTAATTTCACTATCAATATTTTGTTTTTCTATTTGCTTGTCTGCCGTTATTTTGATTTCAAATGAATGAATTTTGTTTTTTTTTCAATACTTAAAAAACCAAATATATAAAGTGTTTTTTATTGAATGCGATGCTGATATATCCATATGATTGTCATATGTGTTTGGCAACCAAATATTATCAATCGTTAATTGATTGATTGGTATTTATTGATAAAAATATTTTCAATTTGCTGCTATCATTGATTTTTTTCTAGTGTTGAAATTTTTTTTGATAATTTTATTATCGTTTGTCTTTGCTTGCAAATGTACCTGATGAAAGTTTTTTTTGCAAAATTCTCTATCTAAGTGAATAACATCAACTATATATTGCTGTTTGCATTCATTACAATTGATCATTTTTAGGTAAATAATTGAACGAAAAAAATGGTTATCACAATCGATGATCATAATAATATGCCAACATTCGATCAGGTTTGTCATCAATTATGATTTTGTTTTTGACAATAATGTTTCCCAATTCATAGTTGTTTACATTTTTTTTCCTCTAAATTTACCTTGTATCATTAATTATCATGGTGATCATAATCATTGATTACTTATTATTAATTCATGAAAATTTATTTCGAAATATTCATAGCCATTAGCTATGTTTTTTTTTGTGGTTGTGTTTGTGTGATTTCCTCAAATTCTTAAACATGAATTCTGGTAAATCAATAAATCTTATTGGGTAATTCAATCGACAAATTAAATTATTTTTCGAAGAAAAAAATTATAAATTCAAAAATTACAACAGTAAATATAACAAATCCTAGACATCCTTGTCATTTTGTTTATTTTAAATGTTTCAATAAAGTTTTCTTCCATTTTCATATTACGATGTTTTTTTTTTTGTAAATAATGGGAAAACTATAGTGATGATGATGGTGATTATTTTTATTTTTGAAATGATAATGATGCTTTTGATGGCCGCTTCTCTTTCCGTTCCTATTTTTTTCCTTTTCATTCTAGCTTTTCTCTTTCAATGTATTGTACAATTTTTGCTTTGTGTTTTCTTTTTATCATTACTGAAGATGATTGTGATCAAAAACAGGATTGAGAAAATATTTCAAGTCAATTCAAAATCTATAGAGGCAAAATTTAGAGTTTCGTTCTCTTCATCATTTCGCCTTTTTCTATCGTAATGATATCAACATAATCAGGCTGTCAATTTTTTTCAATTCAATTCAGGTTTGGTCAAGCGTTTCCTTTTGATTCGAATGAACAGTTTTCTTTTTTTAAACTATATTGAAGAAATTATATACATTTTTTTCTAAAATAAGCTTCCTCGATTTGTTTTGTGGCCATCGTTTAAATGGTTGTTTTTTTTATAAATATGAATTTTTCTCTTGTTCCGTTTAATTGATTGCAATCATTGTACATCAAGAATGATGATGACACTATCTAAATTTCATTCATCGTTATCATGGTCAATAATTTTAACCCTTAGTTTAAATCAAATTTAATTTGTATAAATGTAATCATCATTATCATCATCATCATCAACAATAAATTAATTTCAAATAATTCAATTTTAATTTCGACAATTCGCTTCAATAATAGTGTGTGAAAAAAGTGAACCAAAATGACCAAAATTTTCAGACAAATCAGTGAAAATGATTCGGCATTTTTGATTACAGTGGAACAAGATGATGACACTAGTCTACCACTATATAATGAATCCATTTTGGAAATTTTTCTGCAGGTTGTTATCTATTTATATCAATTAATTAAAAAAAATTACCTTGTCCAATTCAATTGTTTTGTTGTTATAAAGTATCTAATCGATGACAATCGATTAATGTTCTTTTTTTTTGTTTGATATATATAGGCACTTCTGAAAGCACGTGAAGCATTTCATCGAAATGTTACTAAAGATGTCAATTTTCGTATCAAACAATTGCAGCAATTGAAACGATGTCTGAACGACAATAAAGAAGAATTTGTCAAAGCCTTGAATGCCGATTTTCGAAAGGTAAATTTATTTATTTATTTGAATGCAACAACATTTGTTCATTTTTCTCTCATTTATTTTAGCCTCGTATGGAAGCTGTCATCACTGAAATTGATTTTGTCAACAAAGATATTGATTATCAATTAAGTCATATCCGCGATTTTATTAAACCAAAATATGCAGAGAAAAAAGGTTTATCAACTTTTTTGGACACCTGTTATATTAAACATGAACCATTCGGTGTTGTGCTGATATTCTCAGCTTGGAATTATCCCATACAATTATTATTATGTCCATTAATTGGCGCTATAGCCGCCGGTAACTGTGCAATAATCAAACCTTCAGAAATATCATCAAACACTGAAAAAATGATGGCTGAATTGCTTCCAAGATATTTGGATCGTGAATGTTATCATATAGTTACTGGTGGACCTGAAGAAGCAACACGAATGTTAAACGAACGTTTCGATTTGATATTCTACACTGGATCAACTGCTATTGGAAAGGTGATTTATAAATCTGCTTCCAAATTTTTGACTCCTGTCGTTTTGGAATTGGGTGGAAAAAGTCCCGTTTATATGGATGATTCAATTAATATGGAAATAGCTGTCCGTCGATTATTATGGGGAAAATGTATGAACGGTGGTCAAGTTTGTATCGCACCTGATTACTTGCTCTGTACTAAAGAAGTGAAAGAGAAATTTATAAACGTTGCCAACAAAGTGTTGAAAGAATTTTTTGAAGGCGATTCAAAAAATTCTGAAAGCTTTGCGCGAATCATCAATGACAAAAATTTTAATCGCTTACAGAATTTAATCAATTCAACTAACGGAAAGATTGTTATTGGTGGTGATACTGATAAGGAAACGCGATACATATCACCAACGATAGTCACCGATGTGATCTCTGCCGATGCTTTGATGAAGGAAGAAATATTTGGGCCAATCTTACCGATCATCACAATCGATTCGGTGGAAGAGGCAATTGAATTCATCAAAAGAGGTGAAAAACCATTGACAATGTATTTGTTTACAAACAAAAAACAAGTTTATCAAAAATTCATCGATGAAACATCAAGCGGTTCTCTTGTTGTCAATGAAACTATGCTTCAAATGACTGGTAAATAATATGTTTTTCTTATTTTTTTATCTTTGATTAAAAATTTTATTTTAATAGTTGAAGAGCTTCCTTTTGGAGGTGTTGGAGAATCTGGAATTGGAAGCTATCATGGCCGTTTCTCTTTCGAAACGTTTTCGCATAAAAAATCTGTTATGATCAAAGATTACAATCCTATTGTTGAATTCTTAGCCAGTGTGCGTTATCCGCCTTACAACGAAAACAAATTGAAAAAATTGCAAATGCTAGTCGGACATTCAATTGTGGACGAAATTAATTTGGGAAAATTTTTGCGCTATTTTTTGACATTTTCGCTTGGAATCATTGCTACAATTACGGTCTTCATATTGAATGAAAAATTCCTATAATCAAAAACAAAATAATTAATAAATAAATCCAGACGATATGATTGTTTTAAAATAATATTTATTAATTCAATTTAAACTGATGGATTATGTGATTAAAGTTTAAAAAAATATCAAATTCTAATTCTTTCGCAATTTTCTCATCAAATTCACTTGTTCCATAGCAGCTTTCCGTTTTCGTGGTGTTGAATTGGTTACATCAATTACTTCGGATATTTTCTTAGATATATCATCAGTTTTTGTCGGGGTTTGATTGGTCTGATGGCTAGTGGTGGATCCAAATGTGGCGGTCAAATTATCTGGTAAACTAGCCGCACTTAAAGGTGTTAGAGGAACAGGTTCGATTTTCTCATTTGACGCCTGCACACTATTCGATTCATATTGATGTTTTAATGATTGTAATTCGAAATCAAGACTGGTAAGAGCAAGTTTTAATTCATACAGTAAAACCATATCCGAACGAAGATCGTTAAAATGTCTACAAATTTCCTCGGTTGGTATTGGATGTGGATCAATTTTGAGTTCTTTCATTAATTGTTGAATGGCTTTCATGCGTTTCGTTCCAACCGATGATGGTAATTTAATACGAGAGCTACGAAGCCAGACACAGGTTTTTGGTTCTGGAAATTTAATACTTGCCGATTCAATATTAACTGTGCTGAAGGAATTTGACCCAACATCGCTGATTCGGGAACCTTTTAGCTGAGAATTGGCTTTCTTTCTACTAGAACGCGATAATATATTGGATTGTCGTGTCTGATTCTGTTGTTCTTGTCTACGCAGTTCAGAAGTACTATCGGTGGAAATCAATTTTTGAATTTCTTGCGTAATTTTTTCTCGTTCTTTTTTACGTTGTTCAATTTTACGTAATTCGGCAATCAATTGTTGCTCTTCTTCATATTCTTCTGATGTACGATTGTATAATTTTTTCAATTGTTCTTTACGTTTTCGTTCATGTTCAGCATCAAAGACATATCCTTGCGGTTTCATAGTCAAAATATTACCACCAGTAGATTCGTTACGATGTTTAGCCAAAATGTCACATACAGAATAATATCGATCTTTGATATTTTCCACTGTTCGATCCTTATACAATGATGTATCCCAACGATCTTGAATGACAATAAAACGGAGATCATATTTTCTACACAAGCCAAATAAATGATCAGTTTCACTTTTGCTCCATTCATTACTTTGTAATAATTCTTGGTATTCTTGATCAGTATATGAAGGTATGTTGATCACGACATTCATTTTAGCAAATGGATATTCTTTATTTTTATCCGCTTCACGTCTCCAATGATACAATTGAAAGCCATCTTTTCGTGCTGGATTAGTAAATGGTACCCAGTTCCATTTGATTACTTTACGAAGACTTAGGTTAGCTTTCACCTTTTTGTATCCAAAGGGTGGGAATCCAAATTTTGAACCAATAGCGAAATCTGATGGAATGAGTGATGCACTATCTTTGTTCTCGGAACACAATAAAGCATAAACCTCTCGGTTCATGCCTTTGATATTGGATTTCTTCGCAGATTGTTCGGGAAGACGTTTCTTTTTCATAATTTTCTTCTCACCAGATTCCCGATTCAATTCGAGAATATCTAGAACGTCAGACATTTTTGTTGCAAGATAAATTTACAATTGTCTAATTTAGATATTTAAAAAATCAAATCCAAATATTCCAACAAAAATCTTCTCTCAAAACATGAAACAAAAAGCTCGAAATGAGTTGTTCATATAAGAAGTATACTGGAACGAGAATCCTGAATCGTGTATCAAAACATTTTACATGCATGGATACCAAAACGAGCATCGAGGAATTAATCGAAAAATTAACTACAAATATCGACGAAGAACTTAATCATCAACAATTATCAGCATTCAAGAAATATTGTAAAGCTGAGCGTGATAATAATGAAGTTTTTAAATATTTGTTTCGTTTAATTTTTCATCGTTTAAAACAGAATCATGCACAAATTCGTTATAGTTCTTTTCTTATTATCGATTATTTATTTGAACGATCACGTCTTTTCCGACTAATTGTGTGTGAAAATTTACCGGAAATACTTGAACTTTGTCTGGATGTAACTTTCACTGATGGAAAAATCGATGGCACCGTTCAACCTCGATCGAAAAATCTCGAACAATCATCTGCTCATCATAAATCATTACGGCCAAAAATTTGGGCAAATAAATTGCAAGCAAAGATTTTAGAACGTTTTCAATATTGGCACACTGAATTTGCTGACGATTATCCTACATTAAGTCATTATAATAGATTGTTGATTGAGAAAAAAATTTTTCATAAGCAACAATCTCAATGGCAACGAATAATTCCGACTGAAACTATTGAACAATTACGAAAAGATTTTGCTGAGCTAGAAAACGATGTAAATCTGTTGATTATTCAAATAGATTCTTGTTTTGAATTACTTATACCAAAAATTAATCTTATTGAAAATAAAAATTACAACAATGGTCAGACTAATGACATCCATTCCAATATTCGTCCCATGCAAGGACTTTCATTTAATATCATACTTATTTCCAATATAGAAATCGTCCGTGATGAAACAAACAGTGTTTTAATTGATAATCTAAAAGAGCTTTGTAAAGAATTGAATAATATGGGGCGAAAACTTGGCCTTCTCGAAACGCAATCTAAATTTGTCAATGATGTACTTGATGATGATATTAAACAATTACGAATTAAAATTGCATCAATACTAAGCAAAGAAAATGATATTAGAATTGTTGAACGATCATCATCATCATCATCGAAAGAAGACAATAATGATAGTGATGACTTGGATGAAGATGATTTCGAAGAAGTCACTGAGACAGAAGGTAATTCATATCTAATTTTATTGTTGTAAAAGCAACTAATTTAAGTGGTATTATTTAGATAAAATTTTGCTGGCCAAAATGAAACACGATAAAGATGAAAATGAACAGTCAAAGTCGTCTACAATAATTTCCGATAATCAGTGTCGAGCATTATTACCATCTGGACGTCTTTGTCCACGAAGAGATCTTTTTAATTGTCCGTTCCATGGAAAAATCATACCCCGTGATGAGGAAGGATTGCCATTAGATGATGAATTAAGACAAAAGGAATTAGAGGCCAAATTTCAACGTGAATCTAACGAATGGAAAGATCCTCGTTACCTTAAGATTCTAAGCGAACAAATTGGTAAAGATTTAAGAATGAATACTAAACGAAAACGCAATACCAACGAAACATTAATTAATCTAAAACAATTAACTTCAACTCCTCGGCAACGTTTAAAATCGAAATTAAAAATTAAATAAATAAATGATTTTTTATATGAATTTTACTATCATTCAGGTGTTTGTTATGACATTGGTTTAGAAACGCGAATCACTTATGGTAACCTCGATTGCCATTGACAACCAATCAATCTAAAAATGATGGTGGCGCATTTTCCGTTTTTTTTTTGTTTCGTTTTAATGTCGTAATCATGATGTAACATACAAACATTCATTGTATGCTGGTTTTTAGCCCACTTTAACAGAATATGATTAAATGGGAGACTTTCTTTCATTTATTATTGCAAAGTGTATGTGTGTGTATATCATGAAATTATAGCTGGCGCGGTATACAGATTTTCTCTTGATGATTACTCATCGCCATCCAATAGATTTAGTCTCTAAACAAGCACATTACAATTTCGAAAATCATATGCACGAAAATCACCTCGAGTATTATCGGGCGTCACTATTCCACTTTTCATCAACATTATTATTACTCTTAGAACTGTGCCACTCTCACTTGTTCAAATCCATAGTATTTATGCGGGATATTTCGTATAGTTATCCAGAATCCGAGATAGACAGAAAAAAGAGAAATCAATTTAAATGCTGAACAGCGTTCTGGATCTCTTTCTATCGTTTGTTTCAAAGAGAGACGGTTATTGACGTCGGTAGTAGACACGCGCATACATTGTCGCCATTTAATATGAATATAGAGAAAATTTAAGCGTTCCAAAAAGAAAAACAACAACAACAAAATGAGCCAACAAATGAGATAAATCGATAGATGACACGCGAATTTTGATAATTTGTATGATTTGCTTCCAATAGATTCGATTATATAATCGAATCAAAGAAATTTCTTTAATCGTTAATGTTTCCAAACAGGAAGAAACAACAAATAAATAATCAAATTGTTTTTTAGCTCTTTTTTCAATTGTTTTTTAATATATCCGGTGTACAAAATGATTCATCAAAAATCGAAACGAACAACATCACCAACATTAATAATTTGGCTGTGATCATAATTGTTTGTCATCTAGATTTACAATATGAATAATTCATCATTAATAATATAATCGTGAATTTTTCTCCTCTCTCTCTTGCTCAATCGATTCAATCACAATACCAAAAATAACGGATTTTCTGTTGTATTTAAAACGATGATTATGATGATGATGATGTTGGTGGTAGTGTTTGGTATGATCTGTGATCATCATTATCATCCTTTACATGAATCAACATTAACAACCAGAGAAAATATAGAGAAAAAATTTTCGGGTTAAGAAATGAGAAACTAAAAATATTAGAAAAAACAGAAATAAAATGAACAAGAACCATTGAATAAACTTTTGAAATTGTCTTATGGTGTATACATCTTTGCATTTGAATTTCTTTTATATCCGTCGATTTACATATAATATACCCGAATAAATATTGTCTTCGTGATCATCGACAACATTTTTTTTCCATCAATTCAACTTTGTCGTTCTAGTTCATCATATGATTGTTATTGTTCTTTTATTTCTCTCTCTTTATTATTTCTCTCATACTCTTTTTTGGTGTTTGTTATCCTGAAGAGTTTCTCGGTCGACCAACCAAACAAAAACCAACCAATCAAATCAACAAAACATTAGTAACGAATGTCGTGTCGAGGTTGGTCGGTTTTTATCTTTTGTTGTTGTTTTTACAGTTTTGAGTTTGTTTTTGTTTTTTCCCAACTGATGTGATGTTGTCCATCTTATTCCGAATTTCATCATAAATTTAAATTTTCCGATTCAATTATTTGAATAGATTTATTCAATGTACGCCATTCGACAAGTGCATTATTTTCAGTAGATTGTCACCAATGTTTATCAATCGTATCATATAAATTCATCAAATTGAATGGCTATTTGTGTTTCTAAAAATTGTTTTCTTCCTTCACACTTCGGATCGTTCATGTCCAATTGTGCTAGATAATGATACTGTCGTAGGATTCAATGATCATCTGACTGTTACTTCATTATCATACGCCATCGCCATTTATATTGCTTAAACTTCAGCTTTAAAATTTGATGTCGATAAATCATTAATTAAAGCGTTGTAACTAAAATTGGAAATCTTATCTTCATTAACGATATAACATACTTGAAAAAAGGGCCATCATCATCAATTGAATGCAAATAATAAAAAAAATTTCCTCTTTATTCGGCCATTCTATATAATTTTGTGATTTCATTTTTTTTCCTTTTTTCCTAATTTTTATAAACATCAAATCGAATTGTATTTATTTCATCGTCAGATTAAAATCCACTTTTAAAATGTCTTCAGTATTGACGGAAAATGTTGTACTTGTTCGTACACGATCTCATGATTTGAATTCGGTGAAAAAACTCAATTGCTGGTAAGTTGTGTGATCGATAGATCAATTAATCAACAGAAAACTTTCAATCTTCATTGTCATAAGTAATCACTCCTTTAATCTCTTAGATTTAAATTTCTTCAGTAAATGAATGAATGGATAAGAGAGAATGATATCTTTACAGGTTTCTGTAATTACATTGACAAAACCTCGAAGGCTAAAAAGAATTTTTGTCATTTGGTTGCTCTTGATTAATCAACCATTTACTTTTTACATTGATTATTAATGTTGTTATTTTGTTTCCTTCTTCTTTTTTTCTTGTTAAATCATCGATATATTTGATTGATCAGTCAATAATTATCGAATATAAATAACAGCAAGTGATGATTTGTAGAAATAAAAAAAAATATTCATCTTATCTAATCAGTGTGGATAGATAATAAGTCAGAAAAAAGATCGAGAGTTATTTGAAGCTATCTATCTGTATAGGTGTAACAGAAAATCTATCTAGAAATCATTATCATGTCAAATATTTCTATTAATAAATAAACCGTTATCTACCATTCTCAATAAAAATGTCGGACATCACTTGTTATCAGGTTTTTTTTTATTATGTGTGTGTCTTGTTCACCTATATTTTTTTCAATATTTATTCTCATTCAGCTAGAAATAAAAAAAAAATTCGACCAAATGATTATCTCATATTATTGTTTACTGCAGTCTACATGTCTAGAGTTTTTTTCTCTCTCTTTGTGTGTGTGTGTTGGATGTTGTTCAACTCTCATCTTATTTCTATAGTTGAAAGATTTAAATTTTTCTGGTTCAACTATTATTTATTCAATGTTGATGTCCATCTGATGATCTGCCAAGCCTTTTGGGATAGTTGACCTTTGAAAAAAATGATCTCTTTACGAGAGTTATCTTTTTTTTTGGAAAAAAATAATACTGATGATGTTTTTCACGATTAATTTAAATTTCTCATGTTTTGATTTTTTTTTTAATTAGTTTTATTTGATCTTAATTTTTTTTTCTTCACCTTAACACAGGGGATGCACATTAAAAGATGTATCGATCGTGAACCGAATGCCCAATGTAGAAGTTATTTCATTGTCTATAAATAGTATCGATACATTGCAATATTTCTCATCATGTACAATGCTGCAGGAATTGTATCTGAGAAAAAATGAAATCAAAGATATTAATGAAATTCTTCATCTGTCACAATTGCAATTTCTGAAAAAATTATCATTGGAAGATAATCCTTGTGCCAATGTTGACAATTATCGTTTAACCGTACTTAAAGCGTTGCCAAATTTAGAATATCTGGATAATGTCAAGTATGTTTTTGTTGTATATAACTTTCATTGATAATCCGATCGTTTATCTTAAATATTTTTTCATTATTATTTCATACACAGAGTAACTGCCGAAGAATTATATCAGGCAGAAAAATCGGGTCGTGAATTAATATGGCCCGGAACCGAAATAGTCGATGATATTGATGAAGAAATTATTGAAAATACAGGTGGAAATTTATATGATATATCACGAAACTATCCCGAAACAAAAACAACGTATCCGACATCATATCCGGAACAAGTGTCCAATAACAGCAGTAATAGCAGTAGCAGTAGTAGTAATTGCAATACGGTTACCTTAAGTAATGGATTATCACAGCAACAAAATGAACAATATCAACAACAATCAACAATGAATGCTGGTGGTTATATTGATCAACAGTATTTAAATAATAGTGGTTCGGAAAATGGTAGCACAAATTCGGTAATTAATTCATCATCATCATCTTTGTATGGTAACAATAATACATCAGTTATGAATGGAAATCGTAATTATCAACCACAACCAATAATGAATGGTAGTAATAATAGTTCATCGAACCTACCGCATCATATTCCACAGGCCAACTTACAAAAATCGGCTAGTCCAAATAATCATATAAAAAAGACAAACATGGCAAAGGCAAACTCTTTATCGGATTATAATATTTACAGTACAAATGGTAACTTAGTCATCTATGATTGAAATGATTAAAATTTTCATTGTTATTTTTTTTCTTGAAAAAAGGCAATTTTCGTTGTTCTTCACCAGCCTTATCAGGAAATCCTTATGAACCGATGGAATATGGTTATGAAAATGGACAAAACATTCTACTTAATAATAATAATAATAATAATAATACTGGTCAATCTTCCTATAATATGCCGAATGTGAATTCTATTTCGAATAGTTCTACTCGTGCAAATCTTCACAGTTCTTCATCGACATCAAATCGAGAACAACAGCAACGAATCTTGCCTAAAGGCGGTAAAAATCGAGTATGTTTTTATCTTTTCAATTACGAATCGTTGATTCAATTAATATTTTTTTCTTGAAAAATTAGAATGCCAACATTCTTTCAGCTGTACTTTGCCTAATAAAAGAACTTGATTATGGAAGTTTAGAAGTGGTAGATACAACTATACATTGTCGAATGGAAGAAATGGAAGATTAAATGATAATCCACTAATAATTTTTGCTGCAAATTTGCATCAAGTGAATCGAAAAATTCCTTTGATATTATCGAATTTTGTTTCATCATTCATATTTCAATTGTGATTGCCAACAAATCATAATCGAAATTTCATTTTTTTTAAAATTTATTTAAAAGTAGCTTAATTTGTGACATTCCATTAATGATACTTTTCTTCTTTTGTTTGAAAGTTTCTTCCATTTTAAGTTTCCAATAACTATTTTTGTTTTCTTTTTTTCAAATCAATCACAATTTCATTTTGATATTTTTAAAATTCAAAAAATAATTTACATATGATGTCACTAGATGGCTGCAAGTCAATACAAAATAAACATTTCCGATTTTTACTTATGCAATTATAAAAAGGCGTGTCTTGCCTATGTATACTTTTTCAGGCAATTTTTCTCGTCCGGCAGCGTGGTCGCTTATCGTGAGCAAATACACAAAAAACACACACTCATCGAAACTTATTCGATTTGTTTTTATTCCAATTTGCTATTAAATTAGAAAAAAAATGACTCAAACTATCGTCGGCGATAAACTAGAAGAAGAAGTGAAAATTGAAGATCAAGGTAAAGTAATACAAGTAATTAATGTCAGAAAAATTATTCATCAATTTGTCATCATATTCTCCCAAATTTAATAGGAAGTGGATCTGAAGAATCTGACGATGATTCTGATGCAGTTGAAGGCAATGAAGTAAGCAATGATATTGTAACAGAGGACAATTTGGCTGCTGCCGCTGCCAATATCTTATCACAAGAGGATGCTGGTTCAAAAGGCAAACAATCTCGTAGCGAGAAAAAAGCTCGTAAAGCTATGTCAAAACTTGGTCTTAAATTGGTATGCCAATTCTGATCCGAATAAGTTTACCTTGTTAGCCATAACGATTTTTGTCAATTTTCTAGATTCCGGGCATCAATCGTGTGGCCATAAGAAAATCGAAAAACATTCTTTTTGTTATTAACAAACCAGACGTTTATAAATCTCCTGCAAGTGATACTTATATAATATTTGGCGAAGCTAAAATTGAAGATCTTAGCCAAAAAGCACAGATGGCTGCAGCCGAAAAATTTAAAGCACCAGAAGGAATCGCTGCTGGTCTTTCGGGTACTGATGGTCAACCAGGTTCCGCTGGTGAAAATATTGCCACAGCAACCATACCCGAAGAAGAAGAAGAAGGTGAAATTGATATGACCGGAATTGAAGAGAAAGATATCGAATTGGTCATATCACAGACAGGTGTTACAAGAACCAAAGCTATAAAAGCTCTTCGTAATCACGATAATGATATTGTCAACGCTATCCTGGAATTGACTACATAGATTAGCATAACATCTTAAGAGGAAAACATTCAACAACTATTTGTAGTTATCTTATTAATAATTTCCGAAAAAAGGATTTATATGCTTATGAACAACGGTCTAAAAACCAATTCAATTGTTTTATGTAAAACTGAATAAAAACATTTATCTAATTTTGAGCGCCACCTTTGTTGTTTTATTTTCGTTTTGGTAAAAACAAAAACGAAAGGATTAATTTGATGAAGATATGGAGGAGAATGTTTGTATCGAAACGCATGTACGTCAATATCCATAATTATTTCGGGTTTTTTTAAATTTTTTCTGCTTTACCGAAATCTTTTAGAGTTTGCGCAAATTGGGAAAAAATATATTTAGTTTTTCACATATTATTTTATCAGGTTGATGAGTCCAATGCAATCTCTATCTATTCAACCATGGCCAAAATCTTGATATAACAAAAAAAACTCTAACCAGCTTAACCTATAAGCAATACAAAACATCCACAATTACAATTAACAAAAAGAATAAATATTGCTTTGGACACACATTTTTACGTGAATGCAACGTTATGAATGTTTTTTTCATGAAAATTTTTTATTGATCACTTATGTACCACTACCATAATCAATTATTGTATATTGGCGGGCTAGAATGTAGCGCCATCGAGTGTTGAAAAAATTTGACCCTTTGAAGAAGAAAAATGATTTTTTTTTTCGATACTCATTTTCGAGTTTGCGCCGTTTTCGGATTCAAGTTTTACCGCCATATAAATAACGACGAATAAAAAAACCAAACCAAATCGTTTGTTACCGCCTTCAATAATGGTATCTTCTGGCTACAGCGCCATGGCAGCCATATTCGATGGTTATTTTTCGTTTGGCGAAATAAGAAAAAAAAGTAGCAACACAACAACAATTCTTTTTCAAATGCAATATATGCGCGCGCGTATTTTTCTTATAATGTCCATTTTTTTGTCCAAAATTTTCGCTCGTTTTTTCTTCTTTCGCTGACTGTTGTTTGATGATTTGGTGTGCTGCTTGCTTTCACATTCACAAAACAAAACATGCTGAAACACTCAATTCAATTCATTCAATTTCGGGGTTGATTGTGGATTTACACTAAAAAAACCAGGTTAGATATTAACTAAAAAAAATTACATATCTTCTACATTTGCCTCTTCTTTTCGGGAGCGTGTTTTCGCTGTGTGTGTGTGCGATGATAATGATGATGGTAGTAGTGGCGGTGATGTTGTAGTTGTCTGATACATCGTATTTTTTTTATATTCATTTACAGAACTTTATGTTGTGTATTGATTTGACTTTATACATACACACACATTGATTGAATTGAATTCGTTATATGTGTGTTCAGGTTTTTTTTGCTTGTTTGTATGCGTGCTCTTTTTTTACCACTTATATATCTTTCCAAACAAACATCTTTTTTTTTGATGAAAAAGACGAATTCGTTCGATTTGGTTTTTTTTGTTTCAATTCATTCTATTGCTCTCCCTCTTTCTCTTTTTCATCATCACCATCCTCATCCTCCTCATCGACACTAAAAAAACCTCAAAATACAAGACAAGCCAATAAGCCAGCAAGAAAGCAACAACAACAACAACAAAAGTAAAAAAAACGAAATAAAAAATCATTGCGACTACTAACAACTGTTTTGTTGCATTTGCATTTTTTCTTTTTTTTTTCGATTCAATACATTCATCCAATCCATTTGGCTGGCATTCTCTCGATTGATATATTTTGTATTTTTTAGCCTAGAAAAGAAAAAAATACCAGCAAAATAGTTGATCATTTCATCAGTTTCTTTACTTGAAGAATATTTGATCGTATTGCCGTAGTCATCATTATCATAATCATCATCGTTGGCGTCTTGTTTTTTGTCGTCATCCTTTCGGCCACCGCCATCAAAAAAATCTAAAACAATAATAATAACATCAAGGTACTTTATTTCTTGTTGATTCTATCGACGATAAGCATCATTTATCGATTAAACAGCAAAGAATTACACCATCATTCATCAATAATCATTATAGTTTGCTTATTTTTTTCTATGAAGTGATTTAAAATTTCCCAAACACATTTAATTTTTATCAATGAGATCTTTGAATTTCCGTTTATTGAAAAAATTATGAACAAATTGATTATTTTGTGTTTGTGCTAATATATGAATGTGTGAGTTGAAAAAAATCCGGAAGAAATGATCATTGATTCATTCATTTTACCATCAAAAATCTTCACAGTTCATACTGATATCATTGTCATCTTATCATTTTTCCAGATTTGATTTATTCACACCTGATTCAATAGATTCTTGGTTTTCATCGTTTAATTCACTTGTCGATTTATCCTTCCATAAGAATTTTTTTATTTCAAACGAACACTCTTGATGTTCAAATAATATTTTTCGTGTTTGTAATTATCTAAAGAATCAATGATTAAAAGGACAAATGTTTTTACTAACCGTTTTTTTCTTTACATTACAGAGCTGAAATGATGATTATAAAGCCAAAATTACAAACATAGTCAATATGAATACAGCAAATGTGACGGCGAATAATATCGTCAATGTTGCGGCTACTGCAACGCAACCACCACCAACAGCTAATATAACGACGATAAAAACGCATCAACAACCTACCGCAATTTTACATCAACCAAGTACTATTTCAATACCAGCGACAATTATAACAGCTACTTCAAATGAGACAAGACTCAATAAATCATCAACAGCGAATCAAACACCACCACCGACTCAACAACCAACATCCGTAACATCCACTTCAAATCATTCAATTCAGAATCATGAACCTCAATCTTTGGTGCAGCATTCATCCCCCGCAACCGCAACATTTACGATTCATGCTTCTACTGGTGTGACACAAACATTGCAAACAATACCGAATAATTTAGTGGTTACTAGTGCTGCCAATGTCGTTGGTACAGCTGGACAACAACAACAAGCTCAAATTCAAACAGTGAATGCTGTAGCAAATACGACTTCGATAATCCATCCGGTGACAATCACAGGTATTACTACTACAGGTTCATCATCGGTAGTTTGTACAGCGACCATTTTACCTACTGGAGCGACTGTTAGCACTGCTGGCGGCCATCCACAAGTTACCGCCATTCCTGTTGGACCTAATACTGTTCTTAAAGCTCAACCAACGATGACAACATTACCTATTGGACAAAGATTTCAAGCGACTAATGTAGCCATTGGCACTTCCAATGTTCCATCATCACAACCAACTGGCACACCCATTAATGCTTTATTCATTCATCAAGATCCAATCGCTTCGCAGAAAAATCTATCAAACAGTGTTGCTCATGCGACAATGGCAACAACATCGAATCATCCCCATCAGCAATCGCATGCATCCATTCAACAGAATTCGACAACTACAGCGACCGTAATAAATACAAGTAATGTTTCAGTGGCCGGTGTACCTGGTACAACAACGGTTACTTTACAACCAATTTCATCACATTCTAACAGTCAGCAACATCACGCGCCTATATTCGTCCAAACTGGTCCTAATACTAATTCGAATACAGCCACGCCGAATAGTGCCATTTTTCATCAAATAGGTCACCATCATCCAAATTCGTCATCACAACCGACACCATCGTCTCAACTGCAACAACAACAACCAACCAATCTATCGACGATTAATTTATCTACCTCTTCAGTGCAACAGCAGCAATCGGCACCAACGCCATCCCAATCGGCACCACAACAACAATTTCAAAGATTGAAAGTTGAAGATGCACTTTCCTATTTGGATCAAGTAAAATTCAAATTCAATGATAGGCCGCAAGTGTATAATGATTTTTTGGACATAATGAAAGAATTTAAATCACAATCTATCGATACTCCGGGTGTTATACAACGTGTTTCAAACCTGTTTAAGGGTCATCCAGAATTGATTGTCGGATTCAATACATTTTTACCCCCAGGATACAAAATTGAAATACATTCGAATGATCAGGTGAATGTATCAATGCCAAATTCAACAAATGTTGTTTTGATGCCAAACACCCCATTAACACCATCGACGCATCAAAAACAATCTATATCAGCTGTTACAGCTCCTGCTGGTCATGCGATTGTTGCTTCAAGCCAAAACATTCATCAGATTCCGAGCAATTTAGTTAGAAGTCCTTCCTTAACATCTTCAAACCAAAGTCTCCATCATGGTGGTCCTCCGAGTCATCATTCACATCACACTTTTGGTAATTCTATTTCACCGCGCAATGAAACAACGAACTTATCGTTAGCATCGACATCTTTACCGCATTCAACAACTCAGAATTGTCCTTCGTTCAACCAAAATCGTATTGAAACGACATCAAATCACAATCATCGATCTTCTTCTGGGCATATTGATTCAAATTCTAGGGCTCAGGCAACGACAATACATCATCATCTTGTTAATGCAAGCCAACAAAATGCCGCTAATGTGCCTGGAAGTGGACCAGTTGAATTCAATCATGCCATAAATTATGTCAATAAGATTAAAAATCGTTTTCTTGATCAACCAGAAATATACAAACAATTTTTAGATATATTACAAAGCTATCAAAAAGAACAGGATAATTCAGGGCAAAAAATTCTCACAGAATCGGAAGTATTCAGTAAAGTTTCGAAATTGTTCGAAAATCAACCAGATTTATTGCAAGAATTCAGTCAATTTTTGCCTGATGCTCACAATTCAAGCGGTGTTATTGCTGGTGGTGTTGTTACACATACGTTGCATCCAAATCAAGCTACAAACGCCACTTCTCATCATCATCATCATATGAACAATAGTAATAATTTAATTAATTCTTCACCATCATATAGCATTCAAAATTCAGCAAATCCGACCACATCATCATTGAATCAATATGGCCACCATCATCAAGCTAATCTAGAGCTTAGTAGCTCAAATTATACCCATCAACCACCTAGCCAAACTGTTCCTATAAGTCATGAACAACATAATTCAATGTCCATAAAAAAGACTATCAGCGTGATCAATACGAATTCGGTTATTCCAAATCGAACTTCGATTGCAAATTCAAACACCCCGAATGCATTTCCAAATGCATTTCATCGTACGCCTAAACGCTCAATATCAAACAATCAAATCGAACAATCGAATTCTCCACATGTTTCGTTGAAGGTTAGTATACCGTTTTTTGTTACAAAATACTCACTCATAATGTTTTTGTTTATCAAATTTTAGCGTTCCAAATTGGTACCATTTCGTGAAACAGCTACTCCTGAAGCTGGAAAATATATGGGAGACCTTGTTGAATATGCTTTTTTTGATAAGGTATTATTATAATATCTCTATTTAGATTTGATTCTAATTTATTTAAATTCTTTATTACAGTTACGATTGGCAATGAATTCCCCATATAACTATGAAACATTCTTACGTTGTTTGATTTTGTTCAACAATGAAATTGTCAATCGTTCTGAGCTTGCCCAACTTGTTCATCCATTGTTTTTACAATGTCCGGATTTATATAAACGTTTCAAAGAAATGTTGAACATTAAAGAAGGAAGTTTATCAATGAATTCGGCCAATCTTACGAACCACAATCTCTACTATAATTTGTACAACAATCCATATATGAATAGTTTGAGTAATTCATCATATCATACAAATTCGTATGCTAATAGTAGTATAGGTCATCTGGAGGGTCTCAGCAATCGTATTGCATCATTTCGTGATCGTCGCGATAATGAATTTGCTGAGGTGGATTTCGCCTCATGTAAACGTTATGGTGTATCGTATAGAACCATACCAAAGTCTAGTGCTAAACAAGAATGTTCAGGTCGTACACCACTTTGTCGTGAAGTGTTGAACGATACTTTAGCATCATTTCCGTCATGGTCTGAAGATTCGACATTCGTGTCCTCACGAAAAACTCAATATGAAGAATATGTTTATCGTTGTGAAGATGAGCGATATGAACTTGATCTCATTATCGAAACAAATCTTTCTACCATCAGAGTTCTAGAATCCGTTCAAAGGAAAATGGAAGCCATGACTTCAGAAGAAAAAAGTAATTTCAAACTTGATGATACTTTGGGTGGAAGTTCGCATGTCATTCACATAAATTCCATACGTCGAATTTATGGAGAAAATTCCGTTAACGTCATTGAAGGTAGGTCAAACTGTTGATTTTTTTGCGTGATTTTACATAATCCTTTTTGTTTTTTATGTCAAGGAATCAAAAATTCTCCTGCAAATGTCATACCATTAGTTTTACGGCGTCTTATTTCAAAAGATGAAGAATGGAGAGACGCGCAAAAACAATTCAATCGAAATTGGCGGGAACAAAATGAGAAATATTATTTAAAATCACTAGATCATCAAGGAATAAGCTTTAAACAGAATGATATCAAATTTTTACGATCGAAATCCCTATTGACCGAAATTGAAAATATTGCAGAGGAACGAAGTGAACAAAATGAACAACAATCCTCTCAATGGCCATCGCAACATTCGAATGGCAACGACAATGTGAATGATACATGTCAATCAGATGATCGAAAATCCGAAACGCTGCAAATGCCACACATGATTTTTGCTTATCCTGATAAGTCGATGATAGATGTCGCTTGTAATCTTATCATCCATCATGTAAAACGACAAACTTCTATCCATAAGGAAGATAAGCGTAAAATTAAACAATTGATGAGGCATTTTATACCAGACTTATTTGCTACACCACGTGGTGAACTGTCCGATGATGAAATCGAAGATGAACCCAAAAATGAAAAAGCTAAAACTCTTGGTAAGTGTTTCACGTATTCTAATGAATTTTGCGATAATAACCTGTTTACATTTTTGCAGAACACATTAAATTGGAAAAATACAATGACCCCAACAAGAATGAAAAAACTGAAATCAAGCCACAGCCAATGTTGAATTCTAATCCGGATGAAGAATATTCGCTATTTTTTGTCAACAATTTTTGGTATTTGTTTTTCCGATTACATAACATTCTCTGTGAACGATTGAGCAAGATGCATAAGCGTGCTCAACAAATTGCCGCTGACGAAGTCAAAGAAAATCAAAATCGTAATTTATCACCATCTTCATTACTTCGATTACGAAATAATCGTAAGTATTGTAATATATGGCTTTAGAAAATCTAATCATTTTTTACATTCATTATTTCTTTCTTAGCAGATGTCAAAGTTGAAAATTATTTTTCCACTTTAGTCGATATGATCAAACAAGTGCTTGATGGAAATCTTGATTCAACCCAATATGAAGATAACCTACGAGAAATGTTCAGTATTCATGCTTACATTGCCTTTACTTTAGACAAAGTTGTACAAAACATTGTCCGTCAGGTAATGAATTTAGTTATTGTTTTAAATCGATATTCATTATTTATTTTGTTTTAGCTTCAACATATCGTCGTTGATGAATGCAGTCAACAGTGTACAGAATTATATCTTGAAGCCGGTAAATCGGGATCAGCTGGTGGATTATGTAATACTGCTCAACAAAGAGCTGAAGCGGAATATTCATATCAGAAAAATATCGAACAAATAATTCCCGATGATAATCGATATAAAATTGTTATATACAAAGGTGAAGGTAAAATTACGATCGATTTATTGGAATCAAACGATGATGACGATGAAGATTCAACAAATGATGGTGATGACGATTCAAATATACCTCAATCGTCGCGTACATTACGATCAACGACTAAAAACATGTCTGCTAAAGAAAGAGAGAAGTGTCTAATGAATGAACAAAAAGTGAATGAACTGGTCGCAGAAAAATTTCTCGCAAATCCTCCTTTTCTAAAGAAATATGTTCGTAAACATAAGGGATCATTCGACCCTATCGCCCAAATGAATAGTGATTCGAACGAAGCTGGACAACAATCTCCAAGACCAAATGAAGAAACTAATTCTACTAGCAACAGTTCTGAAAAAGAATCCAATAATCTTCCGAACAGTACTAATGATGAAAAAATTACGAATAAAGAAACGGCATCGGACATTAACCAACCAGCCATTACCAAAGGCGATAGTGAAAATCGTTCTTCTTCGGCTAATGCTGCCACTAATAATGATAAAAATAAGACGAAGGATACAACTGATGCTAATAATGAATGTGAATTTGACATTCATCGTTTCAAATCATTAATATTCGTTCAAAATGAAACGGTTCTATACCGGAAAAATATCGATAAACCAAGAATGGTAAATTGATTTTGTTTTTTAATATATAAATTACAACATTTATTAACACAGTGGAAAATTTCAATAAAAAATTTTTTTCTTTTGCTTTATCATTTATCCTTTCCCGTTACCTTGTGCACATCCGAAATATAATGAAAAATAACAGAGTCATAAGAAGATATCTCAGTCGAAATTTAAACGATTCAATAAGTGGTATTCAGATTGGGTCGATGCCAATTGTACCGAAAGTAATAAATGCAGATATGAAAAATGGTTACTCGAACAGGACACAACTGGTTTCCGGTTGAATCAATCGGAAAACAACGATGATCGGCCGATAATTGAAAAATCTGTTGATATAAAATCGGAAAATGAACTGAACAATGATGATGTAAATGAAAATTCTAAAAATGATGAAAAATTGAAAACGGAAATATCGCTTAAAGTTTCCGAACAAACGACACCATCATTATCATCAATTGAACAACAACAAGCATCAACAAATACTATAACAACAACAAATGTAGATTCAAATGTTGATTTAGTTGAAAAATCTGCCGATAAAGATTCAATTACCGGTACTAGATCCGAATCAAAGAAAATAATACAAAAAGTCAAATTTGATTCTGAATCAGTGATACCATATCGTACATATTATAAATATCTATTTAAATCTTAAAAAATTTCCCTTTCACAATCATTCATAAAAAAATTATCATCATTAAAACTGAAACGAAAATATAATATATAACTTTTCATCATACTAAGAAAAACGAATCTATTTGAACTGATTATGTAATAATTTTTTTATACATAAATATTTATTTTTCAAGAAAAATATTTTGGAACAATAGGCCTCATCATTTTTTTTCCATTATCCTGATTTGTTTTGATTATAATTATCAAATGTTATCATTTTAATCATTGATCTTGACATTTTTTTTTGCTTGCTTTGTTCGTAAGCTTGATTGTTATTTTTGTATTATATTTTTTTTATTATTCATTTTTTCAATTGATGATTATTCAATTGCTTAAAATATATTGATCACATTTAATGATAATGACACAGAAACACATCCATATATATAAATAGAGATTCGAATTCGATTTTTTTTCAATCCATCAACGGTCTTATTTGATTGATTCTTTTTTTTTTGTCATTTTTTTTGCTCATTGTACAAATTTCATTATCAAATGCTTATCAATAAAATAAATCATAGAATAAAATAATGTTTTATTTGAGTTCAAAATTGAAGATACACAATGTGGTAATTTTTTTAAAACAACAATTTTATCCGCTCAATTAAACATTTGGCTAAAAAAATTTGTTTGTTTTTTTTTGGTATTCGCTTCTGTTTATGATGTAATGAAAAACTTTCAAAATAATCATTATCATTGTTGAATGAGAATAAGTTGTTATATAATTAAAATGATTTTTTTATTTATTTCAGAAAGTTGTTATTTTGGAACTTTTATAATCCGCCATCATTATCATTATGATCATCATATTATTTTTGTTGATTTTGAATTTTTTGTTCTTGTGGTTACAAAAAGTTGTTTCACAGTTTTGTTGTTGTTGTTCATGATGATGGTGTGTTAAATTAAATTAAATTTCGAAATGTTTGTAGCTTACTTCTTGAAAGTTTTGTTCATTATTAAAGGGGCTAATTGTATTATTATCATGGTCAATTGGAATTGTAATCAAATTCATCTTCTTTCGTTAGTAAATTTATTTTCTTGAGAAATATTTGTCTTGTGATTTTTTATAAACACCCATACAAATATATTCGTAGATAAGGCGATTTTTTTCATTAAAAACTTTAAAAGGTATCATATTTTCACAATGGACTGTATATATTTATCGTTTTACATTTGTAGAATAGGATTTTATTCATCATTAAAGCTAACAAAGAAAACAATCAACTGAAAAAAATGGAATGTCTGGAATCTGTCATTTTTTTGGAAGAAAAATCGTAAAAAAATTATTCGAAAATACAAAAGAAAAAAATGAATATTTTTTTGTTGAATTTTTTTTGTCATTGTTGAAGAATGTTGAATAAAAATTCAGTCAACATTTTTACATGATGGAACAAACATCAACAACCACAAGCAAGAATTCCGGTATGAGGAAAAACCATTTTCACTTGTTTTTTAGTTTGTTTAAAAGAATTCTGTTTTGGACATGTTCAATTGTTGTTGTCGTCATTCATATAAAAATTGTCGTTGAAGAAGAATGGTCAAAATAAAAAAAAATTCTTATTTTATATTCATTACCATGTTGTGTGGAATATAATAGTAAAATACAAATGTAGAAACCAAAAACTATCCAAAAATTGTCTTTTATATGGTTGGCAAAAAAAAACAGTCAAACTAGATGTAATCTAAGGGAGGAAGAATAGGAAAAATTGCAAAATTTCTTTTTTCTTATAAAGGAAAACAAAAACTCTTTTTTTTCACAAATATTCTGTAAATGTCGTTCGATTGTGATTGTTTCGTTTAGATTGATTTCACTATAATAGAAGTGATCTTTAACAGACATTCGAAATATGGTTCAGATGAGTGTAGTGATCCATATTCAAGCCTATAGGAATTGGTTTCATAGCCGAGAAAAGTTTTCTTTTCGGTGCCTAAAAAAAAATTGATTCACATGGACGGCGACAAACGTCTATGACGACGAAAAAAAAAGATTTTTTTGCTCTTTTTTTTAATATTCCATTTTATTCCCGATTTTCATTCCGTTATTTCTTTTTTACTTCATTCATGATCATGATGATGCGGTGGTGATCCATGGTCTTTTTTTTATATTCTGATTTTTTTTTCTTTATTTTCTTATTATTCTTGTTACTAAAGATCATGATCGTCATGTTGATGATGATCATGATGATGATGATAAATATTGTATGAGCAAAACACAAAAACAAGAAAAAAAGAAAGAAATGTAGATTTTTATTAGCATTACATACATGTACAATTTATTATTATTATTATTATTTTTCGATTCTTTTCATCATCATTTTTTTCTTCTTCTTCTCTTGCTTACTTACACTATCTTTTCGTTAGTATATGTTTTCGGTAACGACAAAAGATTCTCAAATCGTATATTGAATGAAAAAGTTGTTTCGGCTTGTATATTTTGTTGTTGTTGATGTTCCAGATTTTATCCCTTGTATGTGATGAAAGTAAATGTATAGATTCACATATTTTTTTTCTTGCTTTTGATTATTATTATGGTTAGTAATAATGTTGCGTGTGTAACAAAAAGAAAAAAATATTGTTTCAAATATTTTGTTGAGTAATTCACGTACGTGTGTGTATGTGTTTGTATTCACCATTTAAAACCAAGTTTAAGGCTACCGGAATCATTATTACCATGATCGTTTGTTCATTTTTTTTTGTTATTGTTGTTTAAGATATTGTATGTCGATTTATAATCAATATTTTTTTCTTTTAATAACCAATTTGATATTTGTATCCCGGGTAATATATGAATGGAAATCTAATGATTTGAGGATTGTAATATATGGAATGAATTTCATACACACACACACAGAGAGAGAGAGAAAGTTATTCATTTTTTCGCTATCGTTGTTATACCAATTCACATCAACACCAATATTTTTTACTTCTTGGATGGCGTAGGGGTGTGGTTTTGATGATGATGATTTTATTATGATTATATAATATGATCGTACGTTTTGTTGGAAATCATTAGCTTCAAGAAGAATATGAAGTATGGGTCGTTTTTTTTCCTTTTGAAATTTTTTTTAACAAATTTTATTTTTTTTTGAAAAAATAAAAAGTTTACAAAAAATCAGAATTGATGTTATGTAGAGAATAAGTGATGTGTGATGATGGTGTCGTTTTTTTTGTCGAGTGAGAGATAGTGTGTGTGTGTGTGGAAGGGGATAAGAGAGGGAAAAAAATCTAAAAAATTTTACTTATGGTGTGTCTAACATAAATTGGATTCGTGCCTAGAGTTGTCAATATTTGTTCTGTTTGAAAAAAAATGCATACCGAATAAGAAAAAAAAGAAAAAATTCATTTGATATCGGTTGCGGATATCATTATTGAAAAAAAGCAAGAGGGAGAAAAATCCAAAATAGATATAGTCAACTTAAATTGTTTTCAAATGTTATTTGCTATGAATAAAGTTTGAAGAGTTTTTTTTTGGATGAAAAATGGAAAATAAAAATCTTTTCTATAGATTTCATGATTTTCTGATAACCACGCATTGCATATCAATTTTCAGAAAGAAAACATAGAAAAAAAAGTATATTTTATTCATCATCATTCAACATTCATATTTGACCATAATGTCCATTTTTTCCCATAATGATCTAATGGAATGTGCATTTAAAATTTGCAATTCAAAGGAATATTTATTTAACGGTGGTTGTTGATGATAATGATTTCGTTGAAAATCAAGAAAAATCAACATCAATATAAAACTATAAACAAATTCGTAAGAATCTGAATGAATATCAATCAGAATCAGAGATATTTACGAATCAATAATAACTATAGATGAATAATGATCATATTGTGATGATAAAAATAAATTTTTTTATTCCTGATTTTTTTTTGAATAGTATTCATACAAAGAATAGTGATCAAATGATGTATGATGTTTCTGATGATATTTGTTTATTTAAATAATAATCATACAAAAAAAAATAAATAAATAAATAAATATCATAGTAATTATCATGATGTAATCAACGTATGTAAATGTAATTTAAAAAAAAATTCATATATCCATATTTTTTCCCCATCTTGAACATGCAATTTTTTCATTTATTCATTCATTATGGTTAAGAATATTTTTTAATATTAATAATCATCATTATCATTATCACCAAAAACAGAAGATTTTGAATATAAATGTGATTAATGTTCGTTTTTTGTTGTTGTTGTTGTTGGTGGTGGTAATGTTGGTTTGTTTAGCAGAATATGATGATGATGATGATGATTATAATGTAGTATAGAATAAAGTATATATATCATTATGAATATTATTTTCAAATGATAATGATTAATTTAATTGTAATTTGTACTCAATCTAATACATTTTCATAACATACCAAATATACAGAATGAATGCTCAATCAGATAGCGAACGATGTGTTGTGTATATACATTGATTAAAAATATGATAAAAATTCGGGTAGCATCTTTTTTTTTGTCTTGATTATGATTATTGATTAATTATGAAAACAACGAGAACGAAAGAAAGAAAAAATTGATTATTTTTTGTTGATGATGGCGATTTTCATAATTTTTTTTTTAAACACAGACACAATATGCTGACGTGAATTTATTTGGACTACCATCGTTTCTTTTTTTCTATACTCGACCAACTCAGGTCATACATATGTAAATCAAATGAAAGTCTTTTTAGTATAATAATAATAATGATAATAAATTGGGATAATTACAAAATATTCGAATGAATCTCATTTCATTACAAATGGTATATTCTTTTTCATTTCATTTTATTTTTTTTAATCAATCCAAATGAAGCTATTCTAATGTTGATTTCTACATATAATAAAATATACGCACGCACAAACACATATTACACATAACCTTTCGTAACAAACATCATTCATTCCTCCCGGGGATATTATTCATTAAGATGCTCATATTTTTATTTTCTTACTTTTATTCTTGATTCACTGATTTTTGATTTTCTTTTATTCTCTTATGTGTGTGTGCCCGTTTTAATGTTAAAGTCAATGCAAAAAATAAGCATCAATGTAATAGGAATGACGATAGATAGATAGATAGATCGTGATTGCAACAACAAAAATGAAATAAAATATCAGAATCTACTAAACACACATATTGTTGGTTCAATTTCTTTTCAAA